ATCAACAACTAAAAATGAAAATAACACAATTTAAAAATTAACAATAATATTCAATTAATCAATAATTAATAACAACATTAACATAACAATTAACAATTAAACATTTCAATTAACTATCACAATTTACACTAAAATAACACACCAAATAAATTTTAATTAAATAATCAAGTTAAAAAAACACATGCAATAAACAATCAATTCAATAATTAAACTAATAATAATAAGTAATTAAACAAAAAATTAAAAAAATCAAATTATTTGACTTAAATAAATAACTAACAAAATTAATAATTGAAAGGAGGGATTAGATTTAGGTTGACTTCGTCACCAAGAGAAAGATGAGAGGGGCGATTCATCAGTCGGTCAAAAAACCTCGCCGGAGCATGGTCGTCGAAAAACGGGAACTTCAACGATAGAGAGAAAGATTGAAAGGAGGAGGAAAAGAGGGAAGAAAGATAGAGATTTTTAGGAAACAAAAGCTTTGAGGAAAGAGAGGAGAGGTTTGGAGCAAAAAAAGGCGATTTAGTCGTTGTCGGAGGAGAAGAAGAGAGGAGAAGAAAAAAAATGTACGATTCCGTTCGACCGGTACTTATAAAAAGATAAAGTTTTTAGCGACGGTCTCCGTCGTTAAACGTAAATTCAAAATTAAATTTGATCGTTTCCCACCAACGGTTTACTTCTAGAGACGTATTTGTGACCGTCGCTAATGTTCCGTTTGCAACGATTATTTTACAATCGTTAAACAAAACAAAACTTATTAAGTTACCAATGGTTTAGTGATGGTCTCGGATCGTCGCTAAACCGAATATTTTTACAACGGTTTAAATATACCAAACCGTTGCTAATCTTTGGTCCGTTTCAGCCCGGACCCAATTGGTAACGGTTTAGCGACGGTCTCGGACAATCACTAAATCAAATATTTTTGCAACGGTTTAAATATACCAAACCGTTGCTAATCTTCGATCCTGTTTCAGCTAAGACCCGATTGGTAACGGTTTAACGATGGTTAAGACCATCGCTAAATGTGTAATTTATTTACAATCGTTTTTTTATAAAACCATTGGAAAAATATTAAGTAACATTTAGCAAAGGTTTAGAAACGATTTAGAAACGGTTTGGTAGCTTTGCAACGGTTTCTTATGTTTGAAAACCGTCGCTAAAACGATTGGCCTTTAAAATTAGCAACGATTTTTAGACCGTTGCTAAAACATGGTCGTAAATTATAATATTTATAACCGTTTTTTAGATCGTTGCTAAAATCAGTAAAACCGTTGCTAATTTTTGTCTTTAGCAACAGCTTTTTGATCGTAGCTAAAACATATTTTTCTTGTAGTGTTCAATATCCACTTCTTTTTTCTTACGGAGAGGATGGATTTAGGCCTAATTTAAAATGAAATGCTAATTTTCAAGGTCTTGTTCCAAAGAGAAAACGAGTTCCCATGAGAGCTTTTGTGGCATATTAGTTACAAGAGAGAGAGGATGAAGATCACACTTTGATTGTTTCAATAATATTTAGTTGATTCTTATATCACCCTTGAAGATGATAGGTTGGATTATATTAGAAACAACCAAGCTAGCTTGAGAACTAAGATGTATAGAGGTATACATGAGGTTATTCTTAAAAGTGATACCGATGATGGTGATAATGAAAAGGATTTCTTTTTGCCATCATCATATACCGGTAGTTTTAGGTACATGATGAATAACTAGCAAGACGTAATAGCTATTTGTCGAAAGTATGGAAACCCCGACTCCTCATCACATTCACATGCAAAGCTAAATAGCCTTAAATTATTAGATAATTAAGAAAAAAAAGGAATTTTAAGGTGGAGGATAGAGCGGACATTGTTTCTCCGGTGTTCAAATTGAAACTTGATGATATGGTTGATTACATCAAATCTAGAAAATGTTTTGGATGATCTATCGTTGGTAAATATTAAATAATTTTTTTCAATTGGGTTATATATTACCTTTTTTATTTGCTAAATTTTAAATTTGATTTTTTTTTGTTCTATCCTTAGATGTTTATGCTATTGAGTTTCAAAAGAGAGGTCTTCCTCACTTGCGCCTATTAGTCCGGTTGGATTCCCAATATAAATGCCGCACATCCGAAGACATTGACTCAAATTATATCCGTAGGGATACCAAACCATAAAAGCGATCCAATTACTTATGAATTGGTTTCCCAATTCATGATCCATGGTCCATATGGAGTCATTAATCCTAATTCTATTTGTATGAAAGTAGGCACATTTCCTAAGCATTTCCCTAGGATTTTTAAATTAAAAACAATTATTGATAAAAATGGTTTTGTTACTTATAAAAGAAGAGATCTTGATGATAGGCATGTTGTAAAAAATGGCACCAAATTAGATAATAGCTATGTAGCTCCTTTCAATAAAGAATTGTGATTCTATGTCAAGCACACATAAATGTTGAAATATGTTGTTAATCAATGTTGATAAAGTATCTATTCAAATATCTAAACAAGATAACTCATAGAGCAAGAGGAGTTATTGAAAGAAAAGATAAAGATGAGATAAAAGCTTATCTTAATTATCATTTTATATGCCCATACGAGCTCAGCGTGGAGGATATACTAGTTTTCTATACATTTTCATGAACCATCCGTCGAGCGTTTAGTTGTGCATTTATCTTTGCAATAAAATGTTATTTACAATGCAAATAGTTCTTTAGAGAATGTTTTGAATAGAAGAGGAATTGAAAAAATAATGTTAACTCGAATGATTTAAGTGTAATAGAAATAATACAAGTACATGTAAGCTTTTGTATACTAATTTTCCTTCGAATTTGTTTGGGATTCCGGTAATAAAGTTTGGTTGCCAAGACCGAAGGGAAGATCTCTTGGAAGAATTTCCTACATTCACCCTACAACAAGTGAATTATATTTTCTTAGAATGTTATTAAATCATGTGAGGGATCCAAAGAGCTTTGAGGATATTAAGATAGTAGATATTGTTGTTCATCCGACATATCGATTAGCTTGCCATACATTAGGTTTATTAGAAGATGATCAAGAATGGAATTGTGCCTTTCAAGAGGCATTAATTTCAGCTTCTTCTTCTAAACTAAGACAGTTATTTGTCGGTATAATATTATTCTATAGTGTTACTAGCCCTGTCGCTCTCTTTACTCGCATTTTGGAAATTCATGTCCGATGACATTATAAATATCCTAAAGAAAGCTTTCAACATCCCTAATTTAGTTTTCTCTAAGGAAGACCTTCAAAACCATATGTTATATGAGCTAGATAAACTATTTATTGCTCGCTGGAACCTTACTTTCGTAGCATCACTTGCACGTGCCTAATTCACGTATGATGGTTGAAATCGAAATGGATTGTTGAGGTAAGAGCTTAACTATAATATAGAGGATCTTAAAATATAGCATTCTTCCAATATCTTAAAACTTAATAATGAACAAAGAGAGATATATGATTGTATGGTTGAAACAGTCAAACAAAGAAGACAAGCTCTTTTCTTTGTTTATGGCCATGGAGGAATAGAAAAAACATTTTTATGGCGTACTATAATTGCACGAATTAAATCTGAAATGTTGATTGTGTTGGCTATTGCATCTTCTAGAATTGCATCACTTTTGTTGCTAGGTGGAAGAACCGCCCATTCTCAATTTAAAATACCTTTATCCGTAGATGAATGTTCAATATATGAGATAAAAAAACACACACTTTGCTAGATTAGTTGAATGTTACTCATTGATTATTTGGGATGAAGCACCCATGAATAATAGAAGCTATTTTGAGGCACTTAATCGATCATTATGTGATGTTTTATATGGTTCAAGTGGCAGCAATGAGGATTTTCTTTTTGGTGGTAAAGTTCTCCTCGTAGGTGGTGATTTTCATCAAATATTATCGGTGATTCCTACAGGAACAATAAAGGAGATTGTTAATGCTTCACTTAGTAATTCTCCTCTTTGGCAGCACTTCGAATCTTTAGCCTAAAACAAAATATGAGATTAAGTGATGAAGGGTTAAATAATGAAGAAACATAAGAATTGACGACTTTTGCACAATGGATTCTTAAAGTAGGAGATGTCGACCTTTGAGATATTAATATTATAGGTGATGAAGAAGCATCATTTATCAAGATTCCTAGTGAATTAATAGCCCCAATGATTGGCGATCCAGTTGAAAGTATAGTTTATGCTCGTTTATTCTGAATTTTATGCTAGGTATAACGATGTTGAATACCTAAGAGAATAAGCTATTGTGATGCCCAAAAATAGTGTTGTTGTTGAGGTTAATGAATTTATCTTCAATTTGTTACTTGGAAAAGAACATGTATGTTTAAGCTCTTATTCGATTTGCCCTTCATCTAGAGATTCATAAAACCTTAATATGTTATATCCAAGTAGAAACTTTGCATCAACTTCAATTTAATGGATTCCAACACATAAAATTTGTTTGAAGCTTGGAACTCCTATCATCCTATCGAGGAATCTCAATCAAATAGATGGTTTATGCAATGACATAAGACTAATCATAACTCAATTAGCAAGTAGAATTATTAAGGCAAAAATTATAACTGGAAGTAATATTGACAACAAGGTGTTTATCTCTAGAATAGTTCCGTCGATGACAAAAACTAAATTTCCATTTATTTTCAAAAGAAGGCAATTTCTAATTAGATCCCGTTATGCAATGACTATAAATAAGAGCCAAGGGCGATCGTTTAGAATAATTGGACTCTATCTTCCTAAGCTCGTATTTGCTTATAGTCAACTATATGTTGTAGTTTCTAGGGTGACATCAAAAAAGGTCTAAAAGTTGTTATATCAAATAATGATGAGATTGAAAATGAATATGCTAAAAATATAGAGTACGGAGATGTCCTAGATTGCTTGCTTAAAGGTATTTAAATATGTTTTTGCATTTTGTATTATGTTATCTTCCTATCGCTCTACCGTGCTTCCAAGTGATATTAATTAATTTGTAATTTTTTTCCACTATTAGCATAATGGAGATAACACATGTTAGAGTTATTCAACCCTATATGAAGGCAATCAAGATTCGAGCTCGTGTGTCTCGTGTATGGCTACCTTTTTCAAACAATCGACGCTCAATCTTCAACTACATCTTGATCAACATAAAGGTTATTTATAATGTTATAGTCAATCCATTATTCTTCTTTTTTTTCATTCTATATTTACTTATGAACTACTACTATGTTTACTTTTTTACTTTCACTAGCTAAATATCTTTTTATGTAACTACTTTTATGTATAGAAAAATGTTATACATGCAACAAAGAAACCAAAAGATGTTTCTCACTTCTCGAGTCAACTTAAAGAAGGAAATGTTTATGAGATCAACCACTTCTATATTGGTGAAAAATTAACCTAATATGTTGTGATTTCTTATCCAACAATGATTGAACTAACAAGATCTACAAAGATTACTATAGTCACCTCAATAGACCCACCAATTCTAAAGCACATGTTTTACTTTGCAGAATTTGATGATCTTGTTCAAAAGAGTACACAATTTCAGAACTTAACGAGTACAAACTAACATGTGAAAGCAAAACAAACTCTTACTAGATGTTTGATATTAGTTGTATAACACTCGTAAGTAGCTATTATATAATATATTAAATTCCTTCTTTTTTTCTAGATTTATTGGTAACCCTAAAGCAATTTAACCTCTTGAAAAAAGGATGGTTGCTATGAAAATAGAAGATAAACGAGAATTTATTATCGAAAATGCTAAGTTAGGTCAATTATAATTTTTTATGTTAAAACAAAAGGTTTTGTATTTGCTTTGGCTTTTTTATTTTTTTTTATGTTCTTTTAGACTTTTATCTATAACTATCAATGTATATAGGAATCAAGATATTCGAATTACTTTCTAAGGTGATGCTCGCACGACACTTTGAAGAACCCGTTATTAAGAGTTTATAGCCTCCTATTATAATTATGTTCTCGGGTTTTAGAATCAAAGAATTTCAAGGCCGTAATGCTTCTTGACATTTTTTCCTTGTCTTTTCATATCCAACATAATGTCTATTATTAATAAATTATTTCATGCCTTGGTCGAAAAGCTCGTTTTAGTTAATTCAAACTCTTCGACTTGGTATATCATCCCTCATATCCCCGAAACTCACTCCTTCAAGCAAATGTAATTTTCTATACCCTTGTTATTTTGATTATGGGTAATTTAATAACATTTTTTAAACTCGTTTTGTTATTTTTTTTTAAAAAAAAGAGTTTTGCTCCTTCTATCATGAAAATAGCCGTTTTGCCGCCATCTATGGATACCAACATTAATCAAATGAGCAAATGATTGCAAATCAAATCACCAACCAACAATTACTCTACATGGATCCTCATACTCAAAAGGTGTATAGCTCTTATAACACACTATTAATAATAAACTATTTTATAAAAAAACCAAAAAAACAAAACAATTGTATCCATATTTTTGTTTCATATACCTTATTAAAATTGCTTTTTGCATGTTATCATCGAAAGCACATTAAACGTAAAAATATTGTTATGTTCACCAAAATGAAATTCTAGATTAGTTTAACAAAAGATAGGCCTACTTAAATGTTGTACTAGATTGCAATGAACAAATAAAACCTAAATTGTCCTATTAATCATATTGTTTGTAACTTTTATTTGATACTTTTTCCTTTGCATAACAACACACGCCTAAAGATGATTATTTTACAGCTTTTATCTAGTAAAATAAATTCGAGGTTATTAAAGTTTGATTTGCCTTTTGCTTAAGACTATTAACTTGCAAAATAATAATAATAATAATAATTATTATTACATTATACAAAAATGGACTTCATTCAACATATGTATTGTCTATTTAACTCTTTAATCCTTACTATCCTTTGTTCTATAAACTTTGAACATTTTCAAACTACCGATCTTCATGCAGGATAAGAAAGTTACCTACAAAGCAAGAATAATTGACTATGATTTGCAATGGGGTTGGTGGTACGAATCTTGCTCTACTTACAACAAGAAACCTAGGAAATTAGGAAACACATTTAATTGCCAAGACTACCCACAAATGAACAAGGCTCAAATTCCATGGTAAGTTAAGGCTCTTCATTTGAAAAAAAAAAAAACAAAACAAAATACCTATATACATATATCTCAATGCTTATTTATAGAAAATTTTATTTTACATCATCATCTCATCTTTCTATAACAAAAACATTAAAAAAAATCTTATGCTTTCGGGTTCAAAGTTAATTGTGTTGTTGATGACAAGAATGAACAAGTAGACTTCCTTATAATTGGAAAAATAGTTGAAAAAATTTTCAACAGAGACTTGCTTTAACTTGGTTCCGAAAGATGGTTATGATAACCCATATGAGTTGCCTCCTCCCCGGTTGAAAAGCTTGGAAAAGTAAAGATTTTCCATGTGTATTTGGCATTTTTCGACCTTATAAAAATCGTTGTGACATAGTGGTATTCAATGTCTTTGAGGATATTCCAACAATTCAAGCTCCTAGCCAGCTCCTCACTATTCAACCACACTATTCAGCCACAACTAATAGCTCTTACCAGCTTTATTGCTCCAACCTCCTCATCAAATCCTTTCTCAAAAGATCGTCCCACTACTCCTGCAGCCAAAGAAACCAACATCACTTCCACCCCAAATGTGCTACAAGCTATTCAAGCAACGATTTTCTCGACCAAAAACTTCTTTAAAAAAAAAAGGATTCACCTTTGAAACAACATATCACTAGTAATATAAACAAAGGTGAAATAGCTCTACACTACTTTCTATTGCAATTTCAAAATTTTATAAAAATTAAGTTCATGCAACTAAAACACATATTCTCGCTTTCAAATAACAAGTGAAGAAAATCTTCACACTCCCACAAAGGATGAAACAGAAGATGATGATGCTTCATTGTCTTCTTTAATCACAAAAAAAAAGAAGGCAAAAAGCGTAAGGTTAGGTATGTTTTTTTAATCCTTTATTTCATGCATGTTTTTCAAGCCACTTTTGTCTAATAACTAATCATAAAATTTTCTTTCCTTTCATCTAGAACATCCTCTTCTAGAAGTGAATGAACTCTTAATGTTCATGTACCCTTTGCAAGAAAAAGTTTCGATGATATCCCTTTTGAGATGTATGTTAAATGTTTTGTATGTATATAAGTAAACTATGCAGTTGATGTCTCTTTTCGAGATGCATCTTCAATGTTTTGTGTATACATACGTGAACTATGCAAGTCGCTTCAAACTATAATTTAGTGTTTATTATGTCTATTAAGCTTCCATCATCTCGCACTCTTAATGGAATAAATTCTTATAACGGGGTAGATAATGTGAAGTAGTATCTTCCTAGCATGTTTTTCGGACTTTTTAATGATAATTGTATTTTTGGATTGGACCCTATTAACTAGATCATCGGATGGTGGAATTTTTTGAAGAGTGGCTTGAATAATTCAACACAGCTTGTCTTTCTAAACCCGTAAAAACAGTGCAACTTAATTCTTTAATGACAATGATGTGCATGCATGGTGTCTACAGGAAGCTTTCCGCACATGAGTTTTCACTTATGATTCTACCATCTAAGGCTAAGCCGATGGAGCTTGCTTCTATTAGAAAAAAAAAAAAAACAAATAATCAACCAACATAAATCTTGCTTATTTATCTTCACATATTATTATTGAGAACACATAGTTTATTAGCACTAAGAGATCATCAATGCCCGCAACTGCTTTGAGTCCGTTCAAAATTCTCCAATTGGGAATTCTAGAATCTATGCGAGAAAAGTGAATTCATTGTTTTTACGGCCTACAAAACATAATAAATTATCATTAAAAGCCTTAAAAAAAGAGAGAAAAACAAAAAAAATTAGTTAATTGCAAGCGGAATAAATCTAAATGTACCATAGAATTATGCCCGAATCTTTGGTTTTTTAAGATATCATTTTATATAATGTTTTAATAATGGAGTTTGTTAACAAGGTACAAATATTATCTCTCTTTGTTTTTTTTTTTTTTTTTACAACATTAATTTTTAAACATTTCTTAATTTAATTTAATTTGTTGTACATGAGTTGTGCGTATCTAAATCGATAAAATATCTTTATAATTCCTTATTCAAAAAGTGGCTTTTCACAATCTGTGACGTAAATGTTTCGCAATCAAATTCAATTCTTAACGTTTTTTTAGACTTACTCTAATTTTGGACATAAACACGACATGTCACATTATTTGCATGATCATCCTTTCTTATTACTATATAATAAAAAATCAATCTAAATCCTTTTATTTTTTATTATTACAAAATAGATTTACCTAAAAAAAATTTAAATAATGTCTTTAAATATTATTTTTAACCATTTTATTATTATCATAATATGATTAAATAAATAAAAAGACTACATAGCTCATCTTGCGACAACGTGCGGGATCCATGCTAGTTCCTTTCTAAAATGATAAAAATTTGATATATGATCAAAGCATTTCATTTTTTTTTTTTTGACTTAAATAACCTTCTTATTTTATATTCAAACTAACTAATACATCCTTATTTTTGCTAATAATAACACAAATATTATAGGTGATTAATTTATAAGTATTTGTTAGGAAATAAATTTGAACACTTAATATATATTTTGAATGCGAAAAAGATTAATATGATATGTATGTTAATTAATTTGTTAGCAGATATATTATTTTATTTGGTAGTTATAATTTTATAAAGTTAAATTATTATTGAATTCATTTTATTTTTTGTTAGTTTTAAACATAAATAATGCATCCATTAATATTAAACAAAACAAATATCTTTTGTCCAAATCAGACAATTCAACTTTTAAGAGTAAAATATTAACTTATTCTTATTCTTAGTAAATTCTCAAGGATAAATCAAATATAATAATCATATATTATTAATAAATTTCATTTTCAATCAAGCACAAAAATCACATTTTTAGCAATTATTTTCCCAATAATCACATTCTAGTAAAAAATTTAAGAATTTGTCTACCAAACATTCTTGAAAATCAACTTTTATTCTTAAAAATTACTCTTGTAATGATTACTTTTTAATGATTTATCTTTATTTTTTTAACCTCGTACAAACACTATCTCAAAAGGTATCATCGGGTCACCTCTCCCACGTCAATACTGAAGTCCTCTCTAATCAGATCATAAGCATGTCATTCACACCCAAATGCATCCAATCAGATCAGATTTCACAGAAGTTAGTTTCAATGATCATAAGCTAGCTCAAAAGGCGTCAAAAAGCAAGGAAATTTATTTATTTCGCAACAAAATAGTTATGTTTGTCGAAATAAAAAGAAAAGAAAATAATAAAAAAAGAAAGGGTTTTTGATGTCACCAAAACAGAAAGGCTAAAACCCTCCTCACATTTTGTAATTTTGTAAGAGAAACCACCCAAGACCCCCAGCCACTGCTGCTTAATCCGCCACCAAATGCCCAATTTCAAGAGCCTAAGCAATTTCTTTCGTACAACCATCAAAACCACCACTACCTACCCCACCAACGCGGCTGACACTACTCTTATAAGCGTCGGCACCAACCTCGAACCCAAAACACGCTCTAAAAAGTCCCCAAAACCAAAAACTTTCTCGAAGTCCAAAAAGCAATCTCAGCCTCAACCTCAACCTCCTCCGTCAACAGCGGTTAATTCTAGCCTCCTTGATCTCAAATTTGAAGGCTCCGGTTCTGGTACACCCTTTTTTGTTCTTTTTAAACGAATGAAAATTTTTGTTACATTTGATTTTTTTTTATTTTTTTATGTTTTTCTTTTTTGTGATTAATGTAGAGGATTCAGCTACAAACCTGACAGCACAGGACATAGCAAAGATTATAAATGGTATGTGTTTGTGATTTTTACTACATTAATAAAAAACAGGGCGCTTTTTTAGTTTTTATTTTTTGTAATTTGTCATTTGGAGCCTTTTTTTTTTTTTAAAAAAAAAGGATTTAGATGCAAAAGAATTGTGGTTAGTTATTAAATTCATGTGATCTACTCTAATGTTGTTTGTTTCATTATAATGGCCTAAAGAAAGAAAAATTAGAAGCTACAAAATTGATTTTTTTAATGTCATGTGATGTTATTGTTTCATTTTAATAGCCAAAATAGAGCATTTAAGTTGTTATAGTTCTAGTTTGGATACCTGGGTTGATGTAAGAAATGGGGTTTGATCATTGTATGCAAATTGGTGTATTCTGTGTTATTATTATTGTTTTGTTTGATGGGTGTTGATTAGTTTTGCAAATTGGTGTTTTTTGTCTCTCTCTCTCTCTCTCTTTTCCCTGCAGATGGTGCAAAACTTAGCTCACCAGATTCGGAAGAAGCAGATGATGAGAAAGTTGTAGAAAAGGTTTTGAAGGTACCATGGTTTCCAACTTCGAAGACTAACAATATAGCTATACGGCGAAAAGAAGTAACTCGTGAAAGGAAACAAAAATGGGTTTTCAGATATAGTCAGGTCTTCCGTATGGACCGATTAGTTGATACATGTGCCGACAAGCTGGGGACAGATGCTACGATGGAGGTTTTTGGAAAATTGGGAAAGGAAACAGGCTTGAAAGAGTTCAATGCATTGATGAAGAAGCGCGTCGAGCTATGTAGGGAAACTGATGATGAGACAGTTGTGATGCAACAGATTGATGCAGTTCTTGAACTTCTTAGATCAATGAAGGAGCAGGGTTTCTCAATAGAAGAGGAAACTTATGGTTCATTTCTTATACTTTTAATTGATAAGGGTATGGTGGAAGAATTCCATTTTTTCTCTGACTTTATCAAAGATACAAATCCTGGTAAAAATGCACGATTAGGTTATTACAATATGCTGTTATATGTTGGAGTCAATGATGAAGAGAAGATTCAGGAACTTTGCAATTATATTTGTACTGATGATGGGGATGAGAATATCAGTTTACGAGGTATGTGGCTTTTGTGTTGATCTACCTTACAGAACAACTATTATCTGGCATAATATTTTTAATATCATCATATGGAGTGTCTGGAAGAGAAATGGAAAATTATGTTCTCTTGTGCCCCCTTTATGACAAATCAACTTTTTTGCATTGGCATTAGTAGTACCTACAAGATCTCACTCCTGTTGCAGAAAATTATTTGATGGCGCTCTGTGAAAGTGACCAGAAGAATTACCTGTTGCAGCTATTAGAGACTATGGATATAACGAAACTTTCGTCGTTGGACCATGTAGCCAATATCTTTAAATCCTTAGGGAGGCTATCATTGGAGTCCTTTGCAGAGAAGTTCCTTGTGGTGCTAAAAAATTGTGGTATGTTCATTATACAATTATTTTTTTAGAATTGAAAATCCTGTACTGATTTTTTTATTGAAGGCCATGAATTGCTATTGATTGCTGGAAACTGATTTTTTTTTTTTCCAAATCAAAATAATAAATTTTTTGTATCTTGAACTTTTTCTAAGTCGCCATTTTTGAAATTACCATTTCCCAAGTTATATCCGCATTTTTCATGCTAGCTACTTTGGAAAAAATTATGACTTTTAAGAAATTAAATCAATTGGATTGTGAACTTTTTCTAAGTCGCCATTTTTGAAATTACCATTTCCCAAGTTATATCCGCATTTTTCATGCTAGCTTCTTTGGAAAAAATTATGACTTTTAAGAAATTAAATCAATTGGATTGTCTCCAATGACCACATTGTAGCACCTTTTTTTTTGCACAGCTTTCTGATATATGATCTCTAGAAGTTTTTTTTTTCCTTCTTCTAAATGAAGATTTAAAAGCAGGCTGTAGTTCTGGTATCTGAAAGAGACTGAGAATGTATGAGATCTGATGTAGACAAAGCATGCATTTCTTCTTGACAGCTTCTGTCTTCTATGCATTGTGATGCATTGCTGTGATAAATGCAGATTATGGAGTGAAGGATCTCTCAACTCCTATCTTTAGTTACGCTACCAGCTTCCGAAATTTAGCGGTGAGGAACTTCTCATGAATGCTGCTGGTAATGCTCTCGAGGCCATGCTGCTATGAGGCACGACTGCTTAAAATGCAGTTTTTGTCTTTGAAACAATATGAAACTGAGGGGGACTTGAATGTTGTTTGCATTAAGAATTACTGTATTATAATAGGATGCTTATGATTGATTCATAGTCATACTGGTGGTATTATGATCTTTCAAGATTTTTATTTTCTATACTCATTTATTTATTGTCTTTTTGGGTTAATGAGGTGGTGGTAACGAGCTAACTTTGCTTTTAGTTTGATCATGAATTGGGAAATCAATGAGAATGAAAATAATTTGCGTATGGGGAGGTATGGTTGGTAAAAAATGGCTTTGCTGTGCTCACAAGAAAGTGAGTCAGAATGTAAGTTGTGGAACTGATAAATTTGTCTGACTGACTACTCATTACGTAATGGACTTAATCTAGTTTCAAGAGACCCAGTTTGAGAGTCACTTTTGACTAAATCTTTCCTTCTGTTTAATGGATGGGGGAGTATTTGTTGTCATTGAATGGGATGCAAACAGATTGGTGCCAGGGCAAGCACATAATGCCAAATTTATTGAGTGACTCTGTATCATTCATACTGGTTCTATATATCAGAGCTCCTCATCTGGATTATGCCATATCAATTGTTTTAATGTTATTTGTCACTGTGCCTATAAGTATTTTAAATTTGTTGATCACAAGTGGTTGCTTTTTCCTCGCACCATCACTCCTTTGTCCATACTTTTCACTTTCTCTTTTCAAAGGGCATGATATTGATTTCTCTTGTTTGCAACATCATAACAGTTGTTGAATATGTTAATAGCCAAAATTACCATGTTGACTCTTTTATAACTGTATGCTTTAAATCCTGTAACAAATTCATATGAACTCAAATATTCTAAGTGTTTGCACTCTGGAAAACCCATTTCAATGTCTTTATGCTTGAGAATTCTTGAAAAGGTTGATTTTAAATTGGCTTTCAAACACGTTGAATGTGATGTTGCCTGTTGTAGGTTGAGGATGTTGTATCAAAGTTCAAAACCTTGCACACAGTAGTGGGGATGAGTCCTTCTTCTACTGCTTATGAGAAGCTCATTATTTACTGTTGCAATTTACTTAAGGTATGACTGAATCTTTTTTGTTAAAAAGGAAACAGATATTCAAGGTTCCACCTTCTTCAGGTTTTGATTCATTTGAAATGTTGAAAATAAGAATTTGCTTCTTGTTCAGTGATTTAACAACTTAAGAAACCACATTGAACTCTTAGAATACTACCTATTTATTTCTATGTAAGCTTCATATTGATCGATGTCTGTTCATCTAAATGCAGGTGCATCAGGCACTTGATATGGTGGACGAAATGTGCAAAGAGGGTTTAACCATATCCATAAACACAATACAATTGATATTGAATGCTAGTGAGGAAAGCCTTGATTTTAATTTGGTATGATGTGTTGACTCTAAATGTCTTGACGTTAAATATATATTATATTGGTCATTTTGGATACAATCCGTTTCAAGTCAATCATACAATTCAAATATATTAAATTTGGATTACTCTTGATTCTACTCATGTCTAAAAGTGTGATCTTAACTCACCTGAGGCAATCAGAATTGGCCTTCAAACACAAGCATGATTGTGTTACAGGAGTTTCATTGACGCTAACCTGTGTTTCTTAATAGCTTCAAGTACACTTACAAAATAACATTATGCATCTTCTTTGCAGTTCATTTATTTTGATTCAACAAGCAAGACGAGCTTTTTGCTGTCTTGTATTGATGAATACCATGAATTTTGTTTGCTGTTTGAATTCTTTTCAGCTTTATTCTACTATTCTCTATTGTTCTGAATTGTTTTTTCATACCTATCTTTTCTCAACTTGTTTGATGTTTAGGTTCGGCGGATCTACTCATTGATTTATCACCTGGACTTGACACCAAATAATGAGACCTTTAGGAGCATGATAAGTTTGAGTGTGAAAATGAAAGATGTAAGATGCTAGTAGTTCTGTCTCTTGCTCACTCTCTGCATGTATGTCTGCTGGCCTGTGCACTTGCTTTTCTTTTCAATTCCTATGCTACCTTTTACAAAATCATATTCTCATATGCTGTGGTCGTTTATTTTTCTCTGTCTCTTCCTATTCAATGCAGTTTGAAGGTGCGTATGGTCTGCTCAATGATTTGAAGAAATTGAATTTGACACCGACAGCCAGCATGTATAATGCTATAATGGGTGGTTTTTTTCGAGAGGTAGCATCTGAAAATATTCTTCCTGCTCTATTTCATGTGTTCTAAAATTTTTTTACTGCAAGTTGGTTTTGACCTATTGTACAACTTGTGACATTTTCTGCAGCTGTGTTTTATTTGGTACAGCATTATGCCAGTGAATGTGGATTTTGCATTTTCTGCAAGTATAGTTGATGTAGTTTTGACCTTTACATGATGTAACTGCTAGTTGCCTACATATTAGATGTGTTACAACACTTGAGAGAGAGAGAGGGGGGGGGGGGGGGGGGGGGGGGAGGTGAGGCGAGATGGACATTTGATGCAAAATTGTGTAGAGATTGCACCTTTTGGGGGGGACGTGATGGTGGTTACTGATATGAAGTGCTTTTGAGTGACCAAATTTGAGGCAAGGGAGACAAAACACAAAAATATAGATTGAAGACAGAGGGTGATGTAGTTCAAGGTACTGCCAAGGAAAGAAAGCTTTTCTTTTTATACCATTTTATTTCTTCATGTCCAGAGCTTTATGGGTTGTAATGACCTTACTACAGATTCCTGAAGAAGCTAGGGATTAGTTGCTAGATTTGTTTAGGGCTGCATTTTTTTCCCCTAGTAAATTTATTCATTCACAAAGGAAAGCTAATTGATCATGTGGAAATGGAAAACTAGGATTCTGTTATGGTCCCGAGTTATGGATCTCGTTATGGGTCGATTAACGGGGAAATCAACTAGTTTTCCCTTATTCACGTGGCGATTCTTTCTTGACGAACCTATCGTGAATAACTAGATGAGGATGGTTTGTTCTAGAGACCACCAACTCTCCTAGGTCCTTTAGCTGAAATATTCGATGCCTTTATTATTGTAATCTCCTGCTTTATATAGTAGCAGCATAGATGAAAAAGAATACAATTGTCAAGGCTTATAGCCAGCACAATTTCCTAACACACTACGAATTCTAAAGATACTCAAACCCAAGAGGACTTAGTTAACAGATTGCCTCTTGGTATTTTTATTCTGAATGAATCCTAATCTAACTAATCTTCTGCTGCTACTTAAACTACTGCCCGTATGAATCCTAATCTAACTACTCCTCTGCTGCTGGTAGTTTGTTTCTACGGCTGTATTTCCTGCCAATGAATGCGTCCACATCAGATTCATGTAATAATGTCACTTAGGTGGGATGGAGACTTTTATTCATCTCTATTATCATTCACATGTTTTCCTTTACCCTTTAGTTATGAATATTATGACTGTGTAAACTTTGCTTTATGTTTTTAGCTCATACATTTTCCTGCAATATTGAGTTGCTTCTCCTATATACTTGATGCTGCAGATATGATGTTCAACATGCACAAAACTGCGTAGGTTACACTCTAGATTATGTGATTCCTCTGAACCTCTCATGCTTTTTTACTGTTTTCCTCTTATGCTGAATGCTCTTCAGAAAAACATTACTGGTGCTTTAATGGTTCTCGACCAAATGGAACTCGCAGATGTGAGACCAGACTCTTCAACTTACTTTTATCTGATAAGCAACTGTGACAACGAGGATAAAATTAACAAGGTAATTTGAGACTTGCATTTTAGTGAAGATGTCATGCCTCCCTTTCTGTATGCAAGGAGTACAAGCTATTATTCTTGCATACTCAGTAACTTGCTTTTTAATAATAATAATCATAATAAAAAGTGTATTCCGTGTTGCTTTACATCTGAAACATAACACACTGGATTGCCATCTGGTTAGTTTCTTTCAGTATTATGAAGAAATGAAGGTTGCTGGAATTCAGTTTACGAAGCAAATTTATATGGCGCTTGTTAATGCATATGCAACATGTGGGAAATTTGAAAAGGCCAAACAGGTAAACAATGTGTAGATTCCCTCTACAACCACATTCTTTCAATATAATTTCATCACTTTCCATCCCCCAAATAGTACATTATTTTTTTGTGAATGCTTCTTTTTCCACCACCTTCCATTCCCCTGCCAATTCAATGGCTTCTTTGACAGGAATCTCTCTAGCTGACATTCATCAAGCTCACAAGAGCTCTTTTGTTATGTATTTTCTAGATTCTTAGTTTCTTTTAGAGGATGCCCATCTTTCTTCTTGTGATTTTGTCTGTGTTTCTTCTAATTAAATTTTCTTCTTGTATCTAAGGGAAAAGCCCCACTATTAATTTGTTTCCTCCCCACTTAATTTTGTTTTATAAGGCACCCATATGACTGAGAAGTCTTTATCATTCAAGTAATATATGTTGTCTATCGTTATCTAAGATATCCACTTCTATGTGGTAGGTACTCCTAGACAAAGGGATTCCAATTAAGAACTTAAATGAGATTAGAAGTGTGCTTGTCTCAGCTCTTGCTTCACATGGACAAATGACTGATGCCCTTCATGTGTATGAAGAAATTAAGCAAGCTGAATCCAATCTGGAGCCCAAAGCTGTCATAAGCCTTATAGTAAGGTTTTTGTGTATACATGTTTTATGCCCTTTATTGTGGATAAAAATGAGATTCGTTCTAAGATTCTACTTGTTTAGGAGCACGTTGAGTCTGAAGGGGAACAAAGCAGATTGCTTAAACTACTGGAAGAATTGGATGATCCTAAATATTGGGTGGATGGCTGTTCCAGAGTTATCCTGTATTGTATTCGTCATAAGGATTCAAGGTAAACAACATTATGCTTTCATTTTCTTGAATGATCTATCTGCTTGACCAATTGCTTTTTTTTTTTTTTTTTTTTTTTTTGTTAACTTGGGTTTTGCTAATGTTCTTTATATTTTAAATTAGGTCTGCTATGGATTTGCTCAAGCAACTCAAAGATAGGTTATCTGATGATGAATTGGCAATGGAAGTTCTGTTTGATGAGGTTTGCTATTGGCTGTTCCTTGACCTCTTTGATTATAGTATGTAGCTCTTCAAATGCAGATATCTGTAGCATTCTCATTTATAGCTTAACCTTTGGCATACTAATGTTCAGACACTAAATTTTTTGTGTTGTGGAGAAGCCTTTTATATTACACTAGACTGTATTACCGTGCTGTTCTCAGAAATATGTGAATTGCAGTTTGTAAACTTGTTAGGTTCTTGTTTGCATTACTGGTCTGTGATTTGTAATGCACTGTGTAAACGTATGGATTTATGGCGCTAAGTTACAAAAATGTTACTGTTCTGACATAATGAAATATACTCTCTGGTTTGTCTATCATTATATTGCAGGTTTTCTCTCTAGTTGCTGAGACAGAGCCTCCAGATGTGCAGATGGGAATGTACTTGCTTCAAGCCATCAAGGATGAGCTTGGCGTTTCACCTTCACGAAAATGTCTTGATTTTCTCCTTAGTGCTTGTGTTAAGGCCAAGGATTTACGTAATTCTCTCGTGATCTGGAAAGAATATCAGGCAGCTGGCCTTCCGTACAATGTTATGAATTATTTAAGGTAGTTGATCTGCATCCCATTCGTTAGTTGGCTTTGGTAAGATAGAATTCTGAGATTCAAATTTTTTCGCTTCCGTTTGGTGCTTTGCAGAATGTACCAGGCCCTTCTGGCTTCTGGAAGCCACGTATCTGCACAGGCTATGCTAAATAAAATTCCAAAAGATGATCCCCATGTTCGCATTATAATCCAAGAATGTCAAAGAACTTATATTGGGCGCGCTTCTAGAAAGGGAAAGAAGAAAAAGAACAAGGAAAATGAATAACTAATGAGATAGGTTTTATTTTTGTTGGGAAATTGAAAGAAAATGAATCGTACGATTTCCGTGTACGCAGCAGAGTCCTTGACGTCAAGAGCCTTGCATCAGAACATTCATTGATGTATTCTTCCCAGTTGTTATGAAAATGACCATGCATCAAGTTATGTAACATATTTGCTCTGTTTTGGGATGAGCCTCTTGTCTACGAAAGAACTTTAGGCTCCTCATCGGTTTCATGGCATTTTCAATTTTTTTTTTTTTTTTGGGTTAACGTATATAATCCATCAACCTTTCAATCTATTACTCTGTACTCCAGCTTCAAATGATCTGGGAATGCATTTTTAGTGATTACAAAACTAATTTATACTTTTGTTTTTTTTTATTCTCAATAATTTTGAGCTGGTTGAGAGGAAGATGGCATGGAAGGAGTGACTGTTGAGGTTTGGAGGGGGAGAGGATGACAATAGGACTAATGGCAATGGGTATGTTGCTGGCGGTGTGAGGGGTCTGTGGGAGCTGGCGTTCGGCATTGGTGAAGAGGTCTACGGGGGCAGACATTCGACAGTGGCTGGAGGTCTGTGAGAGTTTCGAGTTTGTAGTGATGGGTTGGAGAAGACGGTGCGGCCGTTGTGGCTGCTAGAGAGGAGTAGATAGGTGTGGTGGCTGGTTGAGAGGAAGACAGCGTAGAAGGAGTGGTTGTTGGGGTTTGGAAGTGGGAGATGATAACAGTAGGACTGGCGGCAGTGGGTAGGTAGCTGGCGGTGCGCGGGACGACAACGATGGTGGTAGTTGGTGAAGAGAGGCTTGGCATGGGAGCATTGAAACCGAATTAAAGACATCAGAGTTTTTACGTGGGAGATATTTTGGATTTTTTATTTGTTATTTCAGGAAATTATTTAATTAATTTCGAAAAAAAAATTATTGCATGTCAATATCTCGTGTATCTCTTATCAAGATTTGTCACCGTTATCTGACAACGGAATGATGAAATTAAAATACAAAATAAATATTAATGAAAAATTTAATAAAGAGACTTGATTAAGACAAAAAATAAGAAAAGGGAGACCTCCTAAACCGTTAGCCCGAACTGCTGGAGGCTTAACGGCAACTGTGGGCTTTCTTATTACAAATTAATCGGTATATTTAGTTGTTAACTGATGTGGGATAATGATTGTTAATTCTCCATGATAATTTAACGGCAGCTGTGGTCTCGGAAACAATCTATAAGAGGGGAGGGGACGCAGAACTATGATGAAATTTGGTCAGGATTTTGCCTATGAAGAATTGTTGCTTTATGGGCTTGAGATCGTAGCCTAACGGAACGAGGGTTTACCATTTGAGGATCACCTGGGTTCAACTCTTTTTGTACACGCTTATCAACCCTGCAGTGCCTTACATGCCCCTGGGCTTGCAGGGTGTTCAGTGGGCTCCAAAGATTAGTCGTAGTGCGCACTAAGCTAGCTCGGACATCCCGAATTACCAAAAAAAAAGAAAAAGAAATCGTTGTTTTACGTAATGCAATATTAATTTTCACCTTTTTCTTTACGGATCGCAGTGCAATGTCCTCCCTTTTAATGGAAAATCAAATCAAAATTGCTCCACAATTTTGTACTTAATTATAATGATCTAATCAATTATTAAGCTTTCTATCTGCTGAAGAATCGTATACAAATTAACACTAAAAAGTTGTAATCATTTACAAAATAAGTTGCTTATCAATATGAAAGAGTATCATTACATACTTCACGACTACAGCATCATTTTGGCTTCATTATTAATAAACTTACGAATGTTTTATGTGTGACCGATGTGGAAGAAATTTATGAACATAATATAATGTCCATTTTTTTAGAGATATTTTAAGTTTCGGCTTCAATTTAAATACTATGATATGTGAAAGATACAATCATAGATTGTTTCTTACTAAATATATAAACAACTTATTTGTACATTCATACCCAAAATATTGAACATTATTAAAAGACCAAAGATTTACACAAGAAAAGCACATGATGTTATACATTTCAGTACATTCTTTTAGATTTTGCCTTCATATATCTCCAATAGAATTATACATGTTCCCTCTTCAATGGAAACTAGCTCACTAGTCACTAATACATCTGCGCTCCAACTCTACATATAATCTCTCCCTTTTCAATGTACATCAAGATGTTGCTTGAACAATAATCTTGGAGACTTTGTTAAGCTAGCTATCTAGTCCAATTGATTAATTATGCATACTAAACCCAGTACTAGATACAGATTAGTATAATTAAAAGAAAAAAAAATCTCTATCCCCAGAATAAAAGGCAAGAAAAGAGAAGTACATGGATGGTAACCATGGATTTCCAAAATGTTTTAACTATATATGCATATATCAATCAATTAATGTTTTCATAATTACCTTCAAAAAGAATTAGCAACAAGTATTGCTTGTCTACACCTTGCCTTAGCCTGCTCAAGTCTCTCATTCAAAGTCTCTTCTTTAACAGCAGCTTTGACCATAGCCAAATCCATCTCCATCAATCTCAAAACTCTAAACAACTCAGTCACCATTCTATCCTCCACTTTCCCTTCGTCTCTCAGAACCTCAGCCTCTTCTCTTGCTCTCTCTGCCACTATTTCACCGGCCTTCGCCAAAAGCGCAGTTGAACCAAACTCTTTATCCATTAACTCCACCAACTTGTCCAAAAAGTCCATTATCACATACCCTACAGGCTTCTCTAGCTTTATCTCTTTGGTTCTTTTCCACCCCACTTCATAGTTTGGTGGCTCACCTTTCACAAGGTCGGTTTTGGCCTTTCTTTCGCGGATTATTTGAGATCTTCTTCGCTTTTCGATAGGGTAGTCTGAGTTGTTTAGGGTTGTGGAAGGTGGAGTTGGGAGTGAGGAGGACTCATTGTCATCAGGTTCTGTTGGAGCTGAGTTTGATGAAGTGCATTTGATTGAGAAGTACTGAGGGTTTTGGTCTTTCTTGATCATTGATAGGGTTGTGGAGGTTTGGCTTTGGTAAAGTTGATTTAGGTGAAGTTGGTTTGGGCATGAGAAGGAGTGAAGGAGAGTGGAAGCCATGAGTGTTGTGCTCCGAAACAAAGTGAAAGGATGAAGATAAGATCAGCTATTAGTAAGTTGTCAATTGTCCCTGTTGTTGGATAAATTAATGAAGCGAGCCAAAAAAAAAAAAAAAAGATAATAGTAAAATATCAGAAGTGACAGAATGGTTTTTATTATGAGCTTTTGTAAATATTAAGGTAGAGATTGTAGATGAGTAATTTTACATTTATTTGTTTCACTTGCGCCTTTGGTTGAGTTAATAGTTGTCATTGCTTAAGAAATCATTATAAATACTTTCTTTGTCTACTCACTTTGAAAAAAAATATATAGACATAAAGATGACAAAAAAAAATCATTTTTGAACCTAAAAAAAGTGATAAAAATATTTTTATTTAAACTCAATTTTTATTTATTCTATATCTCTTATTTCATTCTCCTTTTTTTATCTATTTCTCTTTTATAGAATAAATATTATTAGTTATTTTTTGAGTGTCATAAAATTTTTCGTTACAATTATTGTGATTTTTGTATGGCAAAACAGTTCAAAACTCTCCTAAATTTTAAGTCATTTGAAAATCAATTCTTTAACTTTTAATTTTAGATTGTACCTCTTTCTAACTATTTTTTATTTGAAATTAGATTTTTTTTTTATTAGGTCTTTCTCAATTCTAGCATGCAAGTGAGTTTTCAAGAGCTAAAAATGAAAAAAAATAAAAATAAAAAAAACTTATACTTCATCTATCTCAAAGAAATTGTCCTCTTTTTTATTTATATATGCCTCAAAAAAATTTTAGTCTATCAAAATTTTTAATACTTTACTTTTCTAAAATACCCTAATTGATAAAAAAAAATTAAACATCTCTTATATTTCCTCCTTAAACAAAAAATAGTATTTTAGAAAAGTACTATTAAAAAATATTAACATAGCATTCCCGATAACTAAAACAACATGTAAGTGATTAAGTCATTTGAAAATCAGTCCATAACCTTCTAATTTCGGATTGGACCTTCAAAATTATTTTTTATTTGAATTTAGATTCTTTTGTTAAGTTTCAGTCGGTTATTCGGTATAAGTACACATGACTTATACGTGATTGATTTTTTAAACTTTCTTAGTAATTAAAAAAATCTCAAAATTAAATAAAAATTAAAAAATTAAAAGGTTATTTTCATTATAATACTGTGTTTAGGATTGTAACAAGAAATCATAATAAAATTTCAAATTTTTATTATCTAGTTTTTAAAATAAATAAGAATAATAATTAAAAAATAATAATTTCATCAACTATGATCGTAGTAAAAATGGTAAAGATGATTGTAAAGGCGAGTGGTAGTGGAGGAGCGGAGGAGGTGGTGGTAGTGATGCTAATAATAGACTAGTAGTATAATACTAATAGCAATAATATATTTTAAAAAATGATGTCACCATCGTTAAATGTGACGGTGGAAGTGGAAGAAGAATTACGGTAGCAGAGGAATGATAATAAAATTATAATAATAATAATCTGAAAAAATGATATATATTATTGCAATAATAGAGAAGAAAGTGATAGTAATAGTGGAGTAATAATATAATAATAATAATAATATATTTTTTTAAAATAATGTCAGCATTATTGAAGATGACAATTAAAAAAGAATTATGGTGGTGATGTTTGCAGTGGAGGAGTGATGTAGAATCATAGCAAAAATAATTTATTTTTTTGAATTTTTTTTATCATTATATTGCTAATTATGTTGGCGTTGGTGATGAAAATAGTGACAGAGTTAAAAATAGTTGGTATATAATAAATAAAAATAATATATCATTATTTAAAAAAAAATCATTCTCATTTCTTATTTTTATTATCGTTTTTTCAAAGGGAAAAAAATTATACTTAATTTTTATTTTCATTTTCACTTCATTTTTTTTTTTTTACCAAATATCGATAAGTAAGAATAAAACTTTAATTTTTAAATTTTTTGTTAACAACGCTTTAAAGTTTAACCTTTTCGCACTTTATAAATTTAAAAAGCAATTTTACGAGAAATAAGAGAGAATAACATATATATAGAATTTTAATCTTTATTACTAACATCTTGATAAATAAATATGTTAATCTTAATTTCGTCGACACTTTTTTTTTTAGAATAACGTATCAGCATCTTACTAAAAAGCAAGAAACACAAGTAATAAGTTTCTTAGCATGAAATTGTAAATAAAAATAAAAATTAAGAAATGTTTTCTTAGTCTGTTATCAAGTTATTTTTTAATATATATAATGTTAGATTGTATTTAAAATAATATATAAAAAATTATTAAGACATTTACTGGTATCAATTAAATCATAAGATTTAAATTTAGTGATTTCTCTTTATTATTTTATTTAAATATTTGAATTTTATGGATTCTTTTTTTATTATTTTACTTAAAATTAACATTTATATCTCATCAATGTTGCCATTATAGACTTACAACAAATCTTATATAACAACCGCAATCCAACGATGCTTTTCAAAGATTAAAATTCACCTAACACAATATTTAGAAAAATATTTCCAAAAATTAAAAAAATAGTATAAAAAATTATTATTATTATTATCTCTTATCGTATTATTGGAGGTAATGTTAATTTTATCTCTTTTTTCGGTTTTTTTTTTTTTTTTTACCTAAAATCCCTTTATGAAAAAATCTCCACCCGTCAAATTTACCGTTAACTTGACGGGATATCGATAGAAGACAAGTCGCTCACTCTTCGTAAAGTTGAATCTAAGCAACCCGTCAGCCGCACTTTATAACAAAAGGTTGCCACGACATGTCATTCATACACCTTACTTTCTTTTCGGCTTGTTGAACAGCAGAAGCCTTAATAATCAAATCTCTCAGTTCCTGAGCGGAGAGCCAAAAAAAAAAAAAACAAAGTTCAAAGAAGCGATTTTGGTGAATCAAAATGGCGAAAATCGCGTTAGGCTGCGAGCCAGTAGTGGGGTCGCTAACCCCATCAAAGAAAAAAGAGTATAGACTCACCAACAGACTCCAAGAAGGCAAAAGGCCTTTATATGCTATTGTTTTTAACTTCATCGACTCTCGTTACTTCAATGTCTTTGCCACTGTTGGTGGAAACCGGGTACGTGTAAACAACAGCTCTTTTTGTCATTTTGGTTTATTTTGATTCTTTTGGGTGTTTTTTGAAGTTTTTGAAGGGTTAGCTTTGTGGGTTGTTTTTTTGTATTTTTGAGGTTTGTGATCATGTGATGTAAAGATTAGAGCTTTAGTCAAGTTTTTATTTGGTTGGTATTGTAACGACTGTAGCTTTGATATGGATGCTTTAAAAAGGTAACTGTTTGCTTATAGAAGAATATTATATTTGAGAAATTTAGGAATCTGATAGTGTAATTGTGTTTGTGTTTGTGTTGCTTGAAAGGTTACTGCGGTTTGATTGATATTGCTTCAAAAAGAAAGAAAATTTTAGAGTTAAGGTATATGGCCATTGGAGATTTTTATTTTTTGTTGGGTGAGTGCTGCTGAAATTTTTGATTGTTAATGAAATTTGTGATATGCTTGCTTCTTTGTTTTCAAATTTTTTGTTTGAGCTTTTTGTGGTGATGTAAGTTATTGTTTCTTCAGGTGACTGTTTATCAATGTCTTGAAGGGGGAGTTATAGCTGTATTGCAGTCTTATGTTGATGAAGATGTAAGGAAATACACTTGTTTTTAGCTTTATTATCTGAGCTTGTGGATAGCATGTAAATCTGTTTCCTTAAAACATTTGGAATTTCCATGTGCTTTGTAGATCAGAAGGATGAGTCTTTTTACACCGTGAGCTGGGCTTGCAACATTGATGGGGCACCATTTGTAGTGGCAGGAGGAATCAATGGTATTATACGGGTCATTGATGCTAGCAACGAGAAGTTACACAAGGTATCTTATTTCTTAAGTCCGTAACATATGTCAAAAGAAGTAGTCTTCTTTTTCTTTTTCTTCTTCTTCTTGTTCTTTTTTTTTTTTTTTTTTGGCTGTAGAAACTGAAGAGACATGACATAATCTGTAAACAGAAGGGAAGAATTCTGGTATCTGTTATTTCTTAAGATATAATGTGCTGCTTAATTTAGTTCTACTTTTCTTTTCAGAATCATTAAACAAAATTCTATAGTGGTTATGGCCTCTTTATTTGACATTTGAAAATTTTTATAGCACTGCTTCCATGCAAGTAATGTACCCAATCATTAGATTCTCATTTATGTGTACTGTGCAGAGTTTTGTTGGGCATGGGGACTCAATAAATGAAATCAGGACTCAGCCTTTGAAACCATCACTGGTGGTGTCTGCAAGCAAAGTAAGTGACATACCAATTTTGTTTTTCTTGTGTTCTTATGGCTGTACTGACAAATTTTCCATTGGACCAGGATGAATCAGTTCGGTTGTGGAATGTTCATACTGGAATTTGCATTTTGATATTCTCTGGAGCTGGTGGTCACCGAAATGAAGTTTTGAGTGTGGTAAGTTTAGGTGATGTGGAGTTATGCCTCCGATCCTGCAATACAAAGATGTTATTATGTGTTCAGTAGGTTGTCACTTCACAACTCAATTGAAACTGATTAATGCGATGGTGGTTGTAACAGGATTTCCATCCATCTGACATATATCGCATTGCTAGTTGTGGCATGGACAACACTGTTAAGATTTGGTCAATGAAAGGTAAGTTACCTATTGTGGAGTGTCTTATTTTGGTGGTCTTGTCAACCATGAAGAATGGTCTTATCCAGTCCGGTCTGACCAAATGCTTAGACTATACTGTATGAGTCCTGAAATGAAATATTTAAATGTAGAAGTTTTTAAATTTAAATCCTTGCCTCTAGCACCGAGAGGAGGTAGTAATTTCAATTAAAAAGCATCAGTTTTTAAATTTTTTTCCCCCTCTTTTTTTCATGTCATTGACCTACATGCAGAGTTTTGGACATATGTAGAGAAATCATTCACATGGACGGATTGTCCTTCAAAGTTTCCAACAAAATATGTGCAGTTTCCAGTGAGTAACGTCTTTCCTTTCTTTCAATTTTCCACTGAGTAATGTCTTTCCATTCTTTCAATTTTGACATGAGTTTACTATTTGTCTTCTCAGGTGTTCATAGCTTCAGTTCATTCAAACTACGTTGATTGTAATCGGTGGCTTGGTGATTTTATGCTGTCAAAGGTGAATAATGTTTCATGAAAGTGTGCTTTATGATCTAAAAATTTTAGATGAGGGGGATATCTTGTAGTATTTTCCTGTGTGTCCTTTTAACTAACTAGTTTCGTTTGTCAGTCTCTTTAAAATTGTGCATGGAGTTTATCAGTTCTGCAACCAATTATGATTTTCTGGCAGTAGCGTCAGGAGAAGTTGTGTAATTTTATGTTTAATACAACTCTAATTTACCATCCCCTAGAAAGACGGGAACAGTTTGGGATCCTTGAAGGAAATACTTCAAGCAGATGATACATGTAAATCCTCAAAGCAACCATCATTAACTTCATTTGAGAAGCTGGCAGTAGTGAGAAAATTGTTTTGAATTGGTAAATTAGAACTTGATCCACATGTGCTTTAAGGATTGTTTAGCGGAACTTAACTGAGAGTCATAATTCTCTGAAGTACTAATCTGACACCCTTGATCTATGCATTTATCCTATATGGGCAGTGGCATTCATGCTTATCCTTGTAATTTGTTTTGCACAATTGCAGAGCGTAGATAATGAGATTGTGCTATGGGAACCAAAAATGAAGGAACAGTCTCCTGGGGAGGTTTGGGTTTCTTCCTTGATATTTTCTTCTGTAGACATCTTATATTTCAGATCCACTTATGTTTATTAATTATTTCTTGTCACTTGCTGATTTTGGTGGACCACATGAATCTTGACAATTCAACTATCTGCCATTTAGGGTACTGCCGACATCCTTCAAAAATACCCTGTTCCAGAATGTGATATTTGGTTCATCAAATTTTCCTGTGATTTCAATTACAATGCAGCTGCTATAGGTAATGAGAGGCCGTGTAGTTGCTTTCGGTATTTTGGTCCATGGATTTTTGCTAACATAATTTCCCAAACTCAGTGACATTAGTATCCCCTTGTTTGCTTTTTATATTTAAGATCTTGCATAATTCTTGCGGAGACTTGATCTGTCTGTGTTCTATGACAGGGAATAGGGAAGGGAAGATCTATGTTTGGGAACTGCAAAGTAGCCCCCCTGTTCTCATAGCAAGGTCCTTGTTGCTTTTTATGCTGTCAAAGAAACTTCACACTTCATGCACGCCTTGTTTTCACATGCTTTTATTTACTAGTATTGCTTTTCTCTCAGGCTATCTCATGCTCAATCCAAATCTCCAGTTAGACAGACCGCAATGTCCTTTGATGGCGGGTAATGCCCTCATGAACTACTGCTCTTCACCTTCTAGTGTTTCATGAAAATTTTAATTTGGTAACTAGTGAAATAGCTAAATTCTCGTTGGTTTTGAATATTTCAGCACCATCCTTAGCTGCTGTGAGGATGGGTCAATATGGCGCTGGGATTCAACACCACCACCTTCCTAAAGTTTGTAACCAAGTGATCTCTTTGGAGATTTGCTATCATAGTTAACCTATTTTAGTTGAGTGCTTTAAGGTTAATGTAACTTATTTTGAACTATATGTAACATATACTTCAAGGTATCTAAATTGAGGCAGAAGTGGCAAGCTTTGACTTAACAGTGTTATGCATATGCTTTTGTGTAGTGCTTGAAACATGCTAACATAGGCATTATTAGCATAGGTTGAAGGAAATTAACAGTGGCTATCTGTACAACAAGGATAAATACCTGTATTTTACCAACTGATGTTGAGGCTTGTAAATTTGAGTTATTTTTTTGTATATTAACCGTATCACATCATTAGTTGGTATGAGAAAGCTCTGACATTACGCTTTTTGTTTTTGCTTTGCTCGGAAGTAACCTCTTGATAGGAACCTTTTCATGACACTTCCACAGAGAAAGAGCTGAAGATGCCACATAAACTTGGGTCAAAAATATGTGTTGAACTTAATTTTGCGGACTGAATGATTCGGTATCAGATAATAAGTTGGTTCTAAGCTAAAAGATAAATCAGACAATATTTCAGTCCAAGAAGCTGCCGCCGAACCTGAAGTTCTCAGACTCTCCAGCCCAGCCCATGTAATGAGTAAATAGTCCAATAGCTTGTTAGGCCCATATCCTGTAAATGTAAAGGACTCATAGTCCAATAGCAATGAATTGAAATTCTTTCTCTCCTCTACGTCTCTTTCTCTTCCCCTAATTCTTCTTCTCATCTCACTTTCTCCATCATACTAAAGATGATTACCACTGGATCATCTATGGATTGGAGTCCATTTCACTCGTAACATAAGAATTCCAGAACAAGCATTTAGGGCATGTGAATTGATTCTTTTTTTTTTTTTTAATTAGTTCTTTTTTCTTCGGTCTAAAATTGAAGAAACAAATTTCTTTTTCATGGGATATCTTGAAAATAAAGAAATTTATCAAGTTTCAACCCTATTCTATAATAACGAAAAAAATAGAATAAAATTTAGTTGGATATTAACGTTATGTTACAATTGCACAATCGTTATATATGAAAGGTTAACGATTCAAAAGCATTAAATGCTCTATCTAAAAAAACAAAAAACAAAAAAATGTCAAAAAAAGAAATTGAAAGAAGAATCAATCAAGACAAGCAAGGAGTTTTCCAAATCTACCGTGAGGCAAAACAAAAATTAACAAAAAGCTAGAGGGCGAAAACCAAGTAACCGCTAATCATGTAAGGTGAAAAAAGAATTAAAAGCCAGCATGACACATCCAATGATCGCAAGGACACACTAGCATGGACGGCTCAGATCGGTGATTCTTCTCCAAATAATACTATCGAATCACAATGAATAATCAATTTGGATCTAAAACAAAAATAAATGAATAGTATATCTTTCAGTTTTTTTTTTTTTTTTTTTTCCTATGGGTTTCACTTTGAAGCCTGATGCCATGTAGAGAGGAATTAATGGAAATATCCATTAATTAGTTTAGTGACGCAAATGGCAAAAGCGCCCAGCAAACTGCGCGTGGTCACGTCACTTCTGAAAACTATTATGTCACTTGCATTTCTTTTAATCTGCTTGTAATTCTGAATATCTTGAATTGTTGTTTATTAAACGTTGTCGTTTAAATAAGCGAACACGTGTGAATGTAATCAGTTAGTAAGTAATCTAATCACGTGACGGGGAATTACAGCTTCGCTGACGTGGCGGTTGTTAGCACTGTCTGGCATTGAATTCACGTGTTATAATCAGAATACGTTGGAGGAATAATCATTCATGAATAATAACAGAAAAAAATAAAAAAATAAAATCAATGTTTTCCTCTTTTCTCCCTTTTTTTGTCTCTCATTCTTTCGAGAATTTCTTCTTGATTTCCATTTTTGTTAAGGAAATCCCTTCAACAAAAACCTTCTGAAAATATTTATTTGAAGTCAGAGTGGAAATCTGAGATCGGAAGAGTTGACGCACAGGAATGGCTTCCGAATGCTTGATGAATTTAAAATTGAAGAAACAAGTTCATTTTCTCTTCATGATATCACACCATAGTTTACAATTTTAAACTCTGCTTTGATACCACAATGAAAACTATTGACAAGAATCTCCAGTGAAGATTATTCTAACTTCCATATCAAAGAACTACATGATTCTTTGCTTCCCAGTTGAAGCCGGATGGAAGCACAACCAAGAGTTAGGGATGATAATAGGGGAGTATTAAATCTATTGATTCAATTTTTTATCCTATCTATTAAAAAAATATTATATACGTTACTCATTAAAAAATTATCATATAAATCTTTATTACTCATTAAGAAATTACCGTATAAATCTTTACTCTGTAAATACTAGTTTATCAGCCTATTTAATATTCATTAAATAGCCACTCAATTTAATTTGTAAAAATATTCATTTTAATCCCTATATTTTTTAAAAAAGCTTATTTTATCTTTAAAATTTAATTTTTTTGCATCTTGGTAATTTATTTATAAATTTTTTGTTCCTCAAAGTTTTTGAAAAAATATTTTGATTCTTAATTTTTAAATTTTATACAATTAGATCTTTATATGTTAATAAAAAAAATCTAAATAATTTAGTGTGTATTAATAAGATAAATAGTTGATACCCTTATCCTGAAATCATATCAATGTGTATGTATTTTTTTACTTTTAATCACTTCAATACCTATTAAGGTTTTTTAATGAATATTTATTAGACTGGATAAAACGAATATCCATTTTATGCCTAATCCATTGCTATCCCTACTGCAAGTCTGCGTTAGATAGCAAACAAAAATGGAAGAACCAGGAGTTGAATTAGAGTGACCAAAATATGGAAGAACCAAACGCGTACGTTGGGTAGAAATCATTAGATAGATTTCATAGAAATCGTTGTACTTACTCCGTGAGTAATATAATATAAAATTTCTCATCGACACAAGCCAAGATTCTACCTGGTGTCGATCTCTGAACCGAACCAGTAGGGTTTATGCTATCAAAATATGAACTCGTTATGATGGAAAAACCACCAGAAATGAAACTAGTGAAGTGAAGCACAAAACATGTTTCTTTGAAAATTGAACCATAACTCATATGGTAACTGTCGCCTATATAATACAAAATTTTTTACAAGAAATGAAAATCTTTCAATTTTGCCTCATTGCAATACTCATCGTTCATCTACGCCTATAATATATACAGGAAAGAATCGGTGTACTATATTTGATTGGATCAATTTCTATTCCAAAATTTTACAGCAAGGAATGGAGATCATTCAAATTTTGATCCTTAATTGCATCACCATACTCTGCATGCTTTCAAGAATCTCACTGAGTTGTTTAATATCAGCAAGATGCTGTGTGGAGGATCCTGAACTAGTGAAATCAGTAATAAGGGCAGCCAATTTGGCCTGTGAATCCAAAACTGCTTCCTCAAGTGAAGCTACTGTTGATTCCACAGTTGATCGTGGGCTTTCATTAATCAGATGTGACGACGGAGAGAAAGCAACGCTGGCAGGACTAGTACCCCTGCTGAGCCTTTCTGGGGTGAAAATCTTGTCAAAGCCCTCACTTCCTGCAAGGCATAATAAATTGATAAATTCCAAGCCTCACAAAAATTAAAACAAATGCAAATATCTGAGCAATAGACAGAAGAAAAGTTCAACTTGATGAACCTCAATCATATATTTCTCAAGTGGAACTCAATGTAAAAGTATAGGAGCAGCAATGTTGTTAATTAACAAAATTATGCAATGTCTAAGCACATTATCTAAACAGTCCTCGTCTATCAAGTCAAGAATCTCAACTCTGGCATCCCACTGAAATCAATTTTCAGTCTAACAACTATTAAACCATAACTCCCCAGGGCTTCCAAATTCCACACTCTAGTATTGAAATTAACTTATGAATTATAACAGTATTATATGTGTGTATTTATAAGATAAGTGTACGACAGTATTGATAAGGAGTTTGTTAAAAACAATTAAACTGTACCAAGGTTGCTAAGTTGGTCTATGGCTGCCTGGCCAATTGACCCTTCGAGCTTGAGTAGCCTCAGGACACCGGCAGCTATCCGACCCATCGCATCAACTTCAGACTTGCACAACAATGCAAGGTGCTGGAGTTCATCTTGGGTCACAACAGCCTCAATCTACAAGGAATAAATTATGAAATGTCATGTTCCATTTATGGTAAGAGCCACTAAACAAATATTTAGGGAAGTTTTTATCTCATTACTGGTTGCTTGACAGAAAATTTCAAGTTTTCCGCAGCCCACTTGGCCATCTCATCATCAACATCTTCCTCCGATGCCACCATGCAAACTTCAAGATTGATTCCTCCAGATGTCTCCACAACTTCCTTTATCCCATTTGCAGGCATAGAAATGCCCTTCTGTCCCTGTGGCTTCAAGATCTGCAAGCCTTCCACACCAACCTGCAAGCACAGTTCCACTGTGTTCACAAATAGCAAGAAAGAGAAACAACGTCTGCATAAACTGAAATTGAATCCACGCAAACCCCAGACTTGTAAGAGCCATAGAAAGTATAACACGCATCCTCCGCTTCTTTATCTGTGTCTCAACCCTCAAAACTATATGCTATATTAATCTAGGAATCAAGTAGTATTGCAGTTATTTAGCATAAAACTATGAAATTGACAAAAGTAACTAACTACTCCCAGTTGGTAACCAAGCGTCGCTAACCAAAATCTTTTAAATCCCCCCCCCCCCACCAAAAAAAAATTTAGAAGAGAAGCTACCTGAAAACAGACTTGTCTAGCAACAGCATGTGGTAATAACCCAATGTACTAGCAAGTCTATAATATAGGTAATCTGACAGAGAATTAGCACGCATGTAAACTAAGTTTTACAAAAGAATAAATCCGAACAATACTATCAGTAAAGCTTTTTGCAGCTTTGCAAGAGCAATATTATCATTACATCCTAGAGAGAGAGAGAGAGAGAGAGAGAGTTCCTTACCGTAACTAATTCCACAGGATATTTCAGTTTTCGATTTGGTTTTTCTTTTCCATTCAGCTCATTCTTTGGACTACTTTTTGCTTTTACCTGCAAACTTTGGAACAATGTGTGCCAACACCTCTCTTCTCTCCCCACATCTTCATGGTTGTAAAACCACCGCCTATCAGCCATCTCTTGTGCACCTTCAAGAGCAAATAACCAGTCTTTGAATTCTATGCACACATCCACATCATTTGGCATTCCAAGGTGTAAAACTCCATCAACTTTGCCATCTAATGGACTTCCATCTGTAGAATAGATGAAGAGATAAGATAGCAGCAACTGAAGTGGAAATTGAATCAGAACTTAAGCAGCATTGAATAGTAAATTAGTAATGACCGATCAATTATATATGCTGCACCATACCTTCTTTTAGATTGTCAATAAGAGCGGACCCTTTGAAAAGTTTAGAAAGTGGCCCAGCCGATAAATTTTCTAATCCTTTAGAAAGTCCCTCCCCTGGGCCACCATCAGGCCCCAGTATTCCAAACCGATGGAGTAGAGCTTCAGCATAGTTCATTCCTCCACCCAGGCGAACACCAGATATGCAGGCAGAAACACTTAAACTATGGCATTCTTGATCCTGTTCGCTTAATGGAATCACATGTACCATGCTTGTGTCTAGAAATGGGATTGTACAAGTAACACCATTTGCTTGATATTTCTGTCCGTTGTGCACCCAAAACACAGATCTTAGTTGAGGGTATCCATTTGCAGTTACGAGACAACCGTTTTCAACAGAACTTGTCAGTGTGCCATTTTCATGTGCCAAGCTTCCCTCAGTCTCTACACAGTCCACCTCAACACTCTGCCAGCATATAGAGGATGAAATGGCAATGGCACCGCCGAGGGTTCTATGAGCAACTTTTATGTAAAGATCTTCCCCAATAAACTGAACCAGAGGCATTCCCTCAATATCTGAGGCAGAAGAGTCTAAAAATTGAAGTCGTAGTTCCTTCACTGCTAAGCTTACTGCAGTGTCACAGGGAACCTTATCCAATAGCCTAACATGTGAAGATTCATTCCTAGTTATCTTTGGTCTCTTATCCTTGCCAACTGAGGCAATCTTTTCACTAACTCTGCCAAAGTATGCATAAAGATCAAGGACAAAGAATAACTGCTCTACAGAAGTGTTGGAAAGATATTGTTGACAAGCAACTCCAACTCTGACAATACCACCTGGGGGAGGAACATTTGTTAATGGACTCCCATCAGCCGATATCATGGCAACCTCCACAGAAGCATCTAGTAGTTCCACGCATCTCCATGAGCCTGAGGTCATCCCATTAGAACTCAGTGTCCCATTTAAGCTGGAAGATGTTTCCAGAGATAGAGTAAGGTGGGATGCTCCAGTAGTCCATTTCTTCTGGCTAGCATCTATTGGCTGTCCCTCCCAGAGACAAAAGCAAGCAGGATCCTTTTCCAGGTTCAGTAGCCTGAGTTTTAGCGTCGGTGACTCTGAGAAGAACAAATTTTCAATATGAAGCCTTGCTCCAGCAAAGGCATTGTGGACAGTAGAGTTCCCGCTGTCAGTTGTGTTTTCTGATTGACTCACATCCAATGGAACAGTAACATCTAATTCCTTGAGAACAAATACCAAGGAATTTACTGAAAAATCAGGTAAAATAGCCCCAGGATTGACAACAATTCCATCAGCTAAAAAGGAAGATATCCTCAGACATGATTCTTCTTGAAGGTGAATCTGAGCAAATAATGAAAAATGATGATTAGAAGGGCACAAAGGAAGAAAAAAACATCAACTACTGAGACCATCGAAGCATACCATAAGAGGCTGGCAAGCAATAACTGTTTGTGAAGCAAAACATGGTGGCACTGGAGAGGGCTTGACCTGAAGAGAGTAGAGGCATATCAAAGGAATACCAGTACTTATCTGCCAATGGAGGTCTCCAAGGGGATATATAGGAGAGCAAAAATTCTTTGCTGTGAAGACAATTAAAGAAACAAGATCAACTTTAATGATTTATTCTTCAGTCCTAACTAGAAATGCATTCATTTGATTGAATAGTACCAAAGTCAGGAATCTGTGCAGCATTTTCCGTGATAGCTTTCATGGATGGTTGCACTAGAGTGCAAGGAGGGCGTGAGAAGGTATCCCTACATTCCAGCAATTTACAAAGTCATTAAACCCAGTTACATATGATAAAACCAACTCAAAATCAAGTCCCTATTGTTTTATTGCCCAAAGAAAGCCATTTTTCATCTGGTCCAAAATTAATCATGTGAAAACTTTTAGGAAAAAATCAAAAAGGTCAGGATGAAATAAACACAGATCACAATGTCCAGTGCCTGCTTCATTTGGTTCCAAAACCAATATGTATGAAATGGAAGATATGGCCTGCGGCTGGAAGAGAGAACCCTATCCTTTGTGTGTAATTCCACACTCCCATTCCAGACATATGCTTTCAGTTTCTAAGCTCTGACTGCACCCCTGACTTGCATCTAAATGTTTATGGGCACTGCTTTACTATTTCCTCTCAATATAAGCATTTTCAAAAAACACGGCAGACAACCAAAAAAGCAAAAAAAAGAGAGATATGACATTCTTCAGGCTGAAAGGAACTGCTAAAGCTGAATATCTTCAGCTGAAATCAGAAGTAAAAGGCTCCAAATGCAAAATAACACAAGACAAAAAAAAAAAAAAAAAAAAAAAAAAAACAACAACAACAACAACAACAACAACCTTGAATCCTAAGTGGTTGATTGGATAGTATTCCCCTTTAAAATTACATGCATCCTCTCCGATCAAATGCATTGAATAAACATATACAATGCACATCATCACAAGAGTTTTTCTTGTTATATAAGAATTTAGTTTTAACTCAACATAACAAGCCTTGTGATGCAATATAGACAAGGCTAGAATTTTGGACCAGAGTTTTGGTACAAGTTGGAACCTTCTTCAGCAGTGCAGCGACACTCCTTATGAAGAAAAGGCCTAACTGAGACTAAAGTTGAGATTTGGGGGCAGGGGGTGGGTGGTGGCGCAGGGAGACAACGAAAACCTTGCCAATGTTTTCATACAGTCCTAGAACAGTCCAAAATTCTTTCCCTTTTCCTTTCAATTTCATTCTAAAAAAACTGTAACTTATCTAAAATTGAAACCATAAATTCTACTCAAGAACATAATTAACCCACATGCATCGATCTTCAATACTATAGAATCTAAATCTCAAGGCATGCCACATCAGATTATTACTTGTCAGTAACAAAATAGTTTCATATATCCTATCAAGTACGAGAATTCCACATATTTGTGTACAAATTTTGGCTGTTAACAGCAATCCATGATGGCCACTTGACTCGACCAATATTCAATCCCAACTAGGTCAGGTGTGTGATCCATTCCACCACTGCATTCCAATTTAAAGAAGACCAACCCATACAGAAACTACTCTGTGACTAATCAAATCCAAAAGGAGAAGTCTATAAAAATAAAAATTTTATATGGAATTTTAATCCAAAATGATGTGGAAAGTGATAAAGCCATCACTTGCCATACAACAATGACTATCATATTCAAAATTTGAATCCAAAATTTTAACCAATATTCAAGTGAGATGACGCAGCTCTATTTTAAATGATTATTGTATGATTTGTAATTGTATGTTGTTAATAGAAAAGGAAAATATGTGGTAACCACACAACGATGGAATGTCACAGGCATATATGCTAATCCTTCAAACAACAGCAAACAACAAAATAAAAGGCCAGTTCAGTGAGATTACTCGAAGCAAGAACATATTATTTAATGAGAATTGACAAAAGATATTTACTGGTGCCAAACTATGACAAAAGAAGAGTATAAAATTTACCTCAAGAACATTCCACTAAGCATCACCTTTGTCAGATTATTGGCAATTTTTCCATCAGAAACTGTGGCCTGGAAGATATGTCCGAACATAAGATTTTGCAATGCTAAATAATATCACCATGCAATTTGTAACAGAAATACACAGAAGCACAGAGAATGTAAAATGCTCAAGAATCTCAGACTCACAGCTTCTAAGATAGGAAATGCAAAATAGAATAATATCATTAGAACTCCCTAGAACTTATCAAAATTGAATTGCTTCAGTCCATGTCACAGCACAGTTGCATTTAAATTTTTTTCTTCTAAGTAACACACAAAAAATTTCACAAGAAAGATATCATTTAAACTAAAGGATTAGCCTTTCCAACTCTCTCATATGACTCAACTGATTTCCAGCTATCTCATATTATTGTTTTGAGAGCTAAAAAAACACATTCTCAAGCAAAATAGAAATCAGATCTAACTCATCCTTAGGTTACTTGAGAGACAAAATAGATTCTTAAACTACAAACCTTTGGACCAGCAAAGAGAATGGTGCTATTAAAAGGCCGAATACCCTAACTAAGTTCTATCCTAATTATGATTTAGGAAAAACCATATGCAGGATTTAAAGACAAAGATAAGGTTACTCACAATTGCTCTTAGTTTTCTTAAGACATGATAGATAATTATTACCCACAAGAAAATGGGACCAAAAAAGAAACAAAATGTTATTTTAAAAATCATTGTTTAAAAGGAATGAGACAGTACCCGAGAAAAAAGGAGAGACTGCATCAAAAGTTCAAGCTGGAACTCTGCAAGTAAACTGGAAACATTAGCAAATTTATGGTTGTGGAGAACAAAAGCTAAGAAAGAGAACTATCTTGTGTTTATGGCTACATATCCCCTTCTCTGCACATACTTTGGGCCACAAATGGAGCCACACGTGGGTGTGAGGTCAAGAGATATGTACCCGTAAGATAGGCTATTTTACTCTAAGAAACAGAATGCCAAGTCTTTCAACATAAACAGATAAAAGACAGTACAAAAAAAAATCAAATTAATGATTCAGGCATTTTTTAAGAACAAAATGTTAAAATTTGTTTTTAATAGAAGAATACAACTAAATATGAACACATTGAGTTAATGAAAAAAGAAAACAGACAAACCAGCATCTTTGATGCAGAGAAATATGTGGTCCACAACAATTGAGACAAGAGAACGTCCTGCTGCTTCTGTAGATCGCTGCCAGAATTCAGAGAGAAAAATAGAGCACTTAGTTGGGACTCATCTACGACACGCTAACCATTAAAAGGCTAGAGAAAGGGGTAGGCATGAGAACAAATATAAACCTGCTTAGCCTGTAGATCCACATCTCTATTAAGACACACATAAAACCCAGTCATGAAGCGGAGAAGAGCACGTAGTCCTGCTCGCAAAATACTATGTCACCAACTTGCTGCATTTGTGCCATATATGAGAAATGGACGAGTGGAAAACATTTAAAGTATACCTGGTTCACTCAATGCAGGACAGACGGCTTCTGGAATATGTAATTGGACCTCAAGCCCTAGTGGACTGTTTTGTTCAGTTCTCTGCATTGTGATCTGGTAAAAATTAAGCAGTTAGAATATATATTGGACCACAGTCACTGCACAGCACAGATGAAACTCGAAAAGGCTTAATAACACTGCTCTACTATCCAGAGCAAAGAAAAAATCATTAAAATAATTACTTAAAAACTTATGATTCACATTACATAAGCCTCTCCAGATATTCCTTCCAGAAAACGTTCTCCGCCAAAGAAAACTCGCTTTGCACCATCATCATCTCTCTGGGAGGCTCCTTCCTGAGCATGTGCTAAACTGAAATCGGCGAACATATCAGGATGAGGCAGGAGATCAATGGACAAAGATTCCCATTCAAGTTTCTGTCAAGGAAAGAATTCATCATCGATTAGATGCTTCATTTAAAGCAAGCAGAAGACACACGCATCTGCTACAGTCCTACGTCCCAAATTCAATAAGTAAATAAGCCATACTCCAAGCCCCAACCCTACGGAAAACAGTAGAAAAACCCTCCAGATACACAAAAACTAAAATGCGGTGCATCTCTATATTGTCAAAAGCTTATATATTACCTTGAATACATATATGAACTTTTTGTTGTTGGAGAAGTCTCGTGCTTCTTTAAGGTTTACTACCTGTAACATAAAACAAACCACAATAATGTTTCAACTAAAGAAAGTAGTCAAGGTTTGAGGCTAAGAAACTATGGCAAATTTACCTCCCAGTTTTCATTTGTGGTATATAATAAAAGGTTGTGTATAGTAATTGATGCCAATGGTGAAGCCCTGGAGATGGACAAGTTATAGATAAGTGTCATTAAAGTTTTCAAAAAAAATAAAATAATAATACTAAGAAGAAGAACAATGTACTGTCATTATAGTTTTCCATGAATTATCAAAAGCTCTACTAAGGTTGATTCAAACAAAAATCTGATCCCTATGTAAACATCATTAAACAGCTAGTATTTTACATTGAACACAATGTAGAGCCTGCAGCAGTTATGGAAGCTGAAGTAGATAAACAAAGATGGAAGTGTTACATGTATATAAACAGAAAAGTTAATTCCCAAATGTCTATATAAAGTGGGAGAAGACAACAACTTACCAAGCGGCCCCTCCCCACGTTGTGCACCCCCACATGTTTCAAGTAGAAGATTAACAGTGGTAACCTGAATGGTCATTCCATCGGCAATCTGGTAATGATAAAAATCAACTGCTGAATCCAAATTTCTACACCGCTTTGTATGTAATCAACTATGATACAAATAGAAGAAAAAGATTGTTGCCTTGCCATCTATCCTGGAATATGTTTTAAATAATTCAAATTACCCATTTGCATACAACCTATAAGCAATGGAAGAACAATGCATATGGTGCAGAGATGCATAACTCATATTAGTCATGTCAAATTCAAAACTGAATTCATGAGGTGTCAGATTCAAAATTATTGAGGGCAGCTAGATCAATACATTAATGCTTTTACAAGTCAAAATTTCAGTCAGTTACCGTAATGCCAAATCATTTCACACATTATACTTTGAAAATCCATGTTTATCAAGGAGGTTGGTATTGCTCCATTTTTTGTAATTCTTCATTTAGCTATATATAAATCATTTTTTTAACCTGCAGCAAGGACTGAGTGTGTGTGGGAACACCGATTTCAGGATGAGGAATTAGTAGACTAACTCACTTTCTTCCTTTCCCCTTCTTTGACGTGAAACATTTTTTGTTTGTTAGATGCCTTACTAGGCTATTTCACAGTTGAATTCACTGGAGAAAAGTTTCAGCTTCAAAACAGTCCTTGTATATAAGAGATTAGTTTCTCCAATTCATCTCCTCTTACTCTCTTTACAACGGAAAGAGTCTTCTGCACATCCTTATTAAATTTCGCAACATACTAACTAGTAACAGCCTTTCATATACAGAATTTGAGGCAAATGGGGCTTGGAGACAAAATTAGATTTCCTAGATGCAGGCTGCAGTCCTATAATTCTAAATATCCAAAAAATTGAAAAGCAATTGCACCCAAGATGTCACCTAACCTTATCAGCAAATCCATAACCGCTACCCTTGCTAGAACCACTAGACGATTGTGTGCTGCAACATTGAAAAGCAAACGCAAGTGATCTTTAACTTTGAACCAACAGCATAACCATCACTTCAAAAACTAAACCCGCACGAAGTAACATTACCTGTTGGGACTGCTGCTCGCATCTAAATCACTGTTCTCCTCTAAAACCAAATCGAGCTTATCAATTTGGATAACAATCGGTTCTACTTGTACATTACTTACATACGGAAGCTGAGAAAAAGAAAAAATAATAATAAGCAGAATGCCTCTTGCATACTTAGCATTCCGAATTTTTTAATAACTAAGATTAACTGCTAATCAACAATTAATTGCAAAATGTCTCAAATTTTAATTAAGGTAATACGAAGAAAACACTTACAATTATCTCGAATTTGCCTACTTTCGCCTTTGCTACATTCAGCGCCGGCGGCAATCCCATACTCGCGTGCAAAGCGTCTCCATTTATTTCTATACAAAACGGAAATACAAATTCAAAATTTTCTCTTAGACCAGACTATAAAATGATAATTCCCGATTTAACCTTGCAAATTAAAACTAATCACGATTAAGAAAGCAAGAACAGAAATGGCAGTTACCTAAATTAGAAAGTTGAACGGTCCGGCCTTGAAGCTTAAACTGTTCTCTAGAGAAAGATTTGAGCCAGTACTTGAGCGTGTACTCTAACGCACGAGCCAGTATCGCCTCCATTGATTGATGATGCTGCTGCTGCTGATGGCGTCACCTCCAAGATGAAAGATTTAGATCTAAGAATCAGAATCACATGAAGAAGAAGCGATTTTGAAGAATCAAATCGAATCGAAAAGAAATGTGAAGCTGAGGAATTCTGTTGAGTAATGGAGTGTGTGTGTGTTCTCTTGGTTACAGTTTTGGAATCTGAAGAGCGAAAGGGAGAGTGGGGCGTGGCACGTGTGAGAAACAGGGGAAGTGCATCGGATCGCGGGGTGTGTCAGCGTCTGGTGATAGGTGTCAGGGGTCGGTTTGTCGGTGTGTTTTCGGGTTTGGGAAAAGTAACCGTTTTTGTGTAAGAGCTAAGACATGGTAAAGGTTGGGATTTTGAAATAGTAACGATTTTGCCTGCTTGCAATAATTTTTCTAAGACACCTCAAGTCCTAAAATCACTAAATTGCATGCTAGTCCTATTATTATATTATTAGTTGGGTTTATTACAGAATTTGTGTGTTTATAGTTTTTTTTTTTTTTTTTCAATGATAAAACAAGGTAGTTTCAACTCCTAAGGAATCTAAATGATAGGTATTTTGGAAATTTCTCCACCATTTTTTTAATTTTTTATTTAAAATTCTTTTTGCTAAAATGGGTTTTATTTCTCTTATTCAGTTACTCATTTCTTAATTTTTATTAGATTAAATAGGAATTTTTTTTTTTTTAGGTTCAATTCTAAACATGTCTTCATATTAGTTTTTATGTATTTTAAAATTGATCTTTTTTTGAATGTGACTAAAAGATATTTTCTAACAGACGATTTTAGATATTTTAAAAATAAATTTTTTAAAAAATATTAATAATAAAAATCGAATAAATAGACGTTTTTTACTCATTTTATGGTTAATTAAATGGGAAGGGAAAACATGTGATGTGAGAAGTGATTGCTTCTCTTGTGGGAAGAGAGCATTAATTGGTGCGTGAATTATGTTCATTTTGTCTCAACTAATGTGGCGAACAAATCCAATTAAATCTCTTGGTATTCCCAAATGTAAATACAAAGAAAAGAAGCAAGAAGTGTGTGCTTTCCAAAGCGAAGAAAAGCCGCCTTTTAAGTCATCTTCAAGGAAGATGGCTTTCACGTTCAAAAAACAAGAAGTTCTCTTCAAACGTTAAAATAGTCCAGCATCATGCGGTGTCTATAGAGCATTAGAATATTTGCCAACAACACAAAAGCTTGCTGATGCAATCAATAGTTCAATACAAGGGAATGAGGTATATCGATGTCTTAAATTAAAAAAAAAAAAAAAAAAATTGATGTCCTTGTATAATTTTTTATAGTGCTTGAGGATGCGTTCTGCCATGCTAATAATCAAATACTAACGACCATAACTTTCATTATCACCCCATCACTATCGCCATCCTCCTCATCGTGTCAAACTGAATTTCTCCAAAATCATACATATCCAAATACTTTATCCGTTTCCCCCGTGTAATTAGTCATTAGCTCATTGCAATCCATTGTCCGTCCACAACTATCAATTAATTATTACAATTAGATTCGGTTTGTTTGACGAAAAATAATTTTCATAGGAAAATCAATTATAATGAAGCTATTTTTAGAAAAATATTTTTCAAAAAAATATTTTATTTCATTTGGTAATTACATGAAAAAACTATTAAAAAATATATTGCGGTGTTTATTTAATATAGAAAACTGAAATACAAAAAGAGGTTGTGATTGTTACATCAATGAGTTTTGAAGAAACTTCAATAAAGCATATTTACAATTTCACAATATAAGATGAATTTAGAAAAATTTAATAATTTTTTATCAATAGTGACTCTAAGATTTAAAATCAAAAAATAAAATATACATTTTTAACCATCAAAACTATTTGGGATAGAATCAAGTCAATATTCACATTTAGTAAAAACAAAAGATTAAAAGTAATCCTAGCATTGTTATTTTCTTTCTTTCTTTTTTTTTTTTTTTTGGGAAATTGAACTCGATAATTTAGTCTAAAAATAGTTTTACAAATTATTAGTTATCATTTGTAAATGATTATTCATTTGATTTTAAAAGATTAATGTTGAAATAATTTGTAACTAATTATTGACTACAATTTCTAACAAAATTTTACAATCGATTAAAATTAGTCATAAATTATTGATTTAGTTGCAAATAAATAGTATAAAAAATAATGTATTTATTAATAAATTAATTAGTTTCAATTTTTTCATAAATAATTACAATTTTGTAATAATCATTTTTAATTATTTAAGTATAGTTTAGGTGGTATTTGAGATAATGGTAAAAAAGTAAAGATAAATTATTGAAATATTTATCACAAAAATAATTTAAATATTTATTATAAAAATAATTTTAAGGTGTAAAAATTATTTTTAAGAATATTTATTATATTTATAAATTGAAAAATTAAATGTTAGTAGAAATAGAGAAAAAATAATTAAATAATTGATAAAAAATAATTAAAAATTAATTTGATATATTTTAAATAAAAAAATTATTAAAATATATCGAGAGATTCTGGCTAATACGAGAGCGAGTAAGTTTGAAACTAATTAATTCGTGAGAGAAAAGGAAAATGATTTTTTTTTTTTTTTTTTTTTTAAGATAGACTTTGAAGTTTGAACTTGGATGCATGAGAATCACCTGTGGGCTAAGACCGAGAGGTCCAGCTTGGATAAAAGTTCGGCCATAGAGATATAAGCAGAGGCCCAACTACTATTCACGCCTTTAGCAATTAGGTACATGTACTTTTACAAAATTGCTTTTTAATTAAAAATGCATTATGCGTTTTGAGTTTTTTTTTTTAATTGGTTTTGATATGAAATTACTTCACGTCAAACCATCTACAATTATTTTGAAAAATGTCATTTTGATGCTTTTACGATTAAAATACACTTTGGAAAATCATTTTCAAATGCATTAAAATTGCATTAGCAGATGCATTAAAAGGTAGGCCCATTGTTTTATTTGGAAGAGAAACTGGCACAAATTCAAAATATAGCATTTTGGTTAGGAATTGAACGGACCATTACTGGTTGGTGCTCTCTAACCCATTGTTTCCTGGCTAACAAAGATTTTGGAAACACCTTTTAAAGTTGTGGCGACCAACCAAACGACGACCACAGCCTCGACGGTACTCCTTTCCTTCACGTTTTTTCTATTTTTCCAAAAAAGAAAAAGAAAAATCTATAGTTAGTTGGAATCATGCTAGCTACCGGTTTCTTAGCGATAACTATTTCAAAAATAAAATATTTGAGTCCAGATCCATCTGCAGGGAGGAAAAAAACCCATTTCTGAATTTGAGTGGCTGAATACAAATCATGTCAATCATCAGCATAGGTAAATTGGTTGATGGGTGCAAATATTTCTCTGTCACTGGATTGGGAAATACCCCTTTTTGTGGTTTTTAAATTTGTTTTTCATTCGTCCACAAGGCCATCTTTTGCTCTTCACCAAAATATCCTGTGCAAATCCAACCACGGCGGGGAAACAATCCCATTTCTTTTTTTTTTTACTGATTGAATAGAAATCATGTCCTAAATTCGTAAATTGATTAGGTGCCAAAAAGACTTTTATTTACAAAATTTAGCCTAATATATGTGGAGATTATAAATTTATAAAAGTTAAGAATTGATACAAGATATAGAAACATATGAATATGTAATCAATTAAAGTATTACTCTTCAAGTTTTAAATAATAAATTTTTAATTTTTAGTGAATCATTAAATGTGGGATTATAAGAAATACTAAAAAAACGAAAATGTGTTGTAGCACTTTTTCTGTTCATTCCTTGTTTACGATTTTTTTTTTTTTCTCTTTCTCTTGTTGCTTTCTTTTAAGTTCCTCTTTTGGCTTTTAATAAATTTTACATTTTAATCCCTATTTTGTAACCTTTTTTAATTTTAGTTATTAAAATTTTATTATATTTGATTTTTTTCTTATAATAAATCAATTTTTTTCCCACTTGCTACATTTTTTAAGCCTCTCTTTTGGCTTTTAGTGAGTTTTATTTTTATTTTAGTCCCTATTTTATAATTTTTTTATTTTAGTTATTAAAATTTTATTATATTTAATTTTTGTCTCTATAATAAATATTAAAATTTTATTTTGATCATTAAAATTTTATTATATTTGATTTTTATTCCTATCATAAATCAGTTTTTTTCTCTTCCAGCATTTTTTTAAGCCCCTCTTCTAGCTTTTAGCAAATTTTATTTTAATTTTAGTCTATGTTTTGTAACATTTAATTATTTTAGTCATTTAAACTTTATTATATTTGATTTTTTTCCATTAATAAATATTTTTCTTGGCTTTTAGTAAAATTGTTCACAATCTTATTCTTTATAGTTTTTTTTTTCTTTTAGTGAAATTTTTTTATTTATTTTGATTCTACTTTTATGATTTTTACTTTGTTTTAATCATTTAATTTTTATCGTGTGTAATTTTATTTCTATTTTTTTTTATCAAATTCTCGATTTGAAAAAGCTTTTTTATCATTTTGTTTTGGATGGTCTCTTTATCTTATTAACAAATTACAGATGAAGAATATATAATAAAAATTAATCATTTAAATTATAAAAACTATCACATCATTATTTTAATTATCATTTATTATACATATTTATATCAAACAATATCTAAGTAGTAATATTGTCTAAGTAGCATCATGATTTTTATGAACTTGGGCATGAGAGAAAAAACACATGGAAACACGTGCTGTTCCTTTGTCTTGAACTGGAAGCCAGCTCGGACAAACTTGAAGGTAACATGCGTGGCTGTGTTTTGTTGCTTGGATGCTCGGACACTTCTTGTTCTACGACAATGACGTTTTTGGCACTTTACTTTGCTGACTTGCGGCTCTCCTACAGCGTGAGAACCAAGTTCCTCGCGGCGCTCGGCTAAGTTTCGGCTAATCTAGCTGGCTCAGTCTCCATTCAATTTTTTTTTTTTTTTTTCCGTATGACCTTCTGAATTCTAGATGGAGTGCTCGATTTATGAAAGATAATATTTTTACTTTGATTAGAAATTAATGAAGAAATTTAAATTAAATGTGTCCTCAATAACTGATAGAAAACATTTTCTTTTTGAGAAAATAGAGATAGAAGAAATTAGAAACTGAAAATATAACTTTTTCCTTTTTCAAAAGAATTAGTCTCTCCATTGCAGTTTGTTTGTCCTTGTTTTTATTTTTATTTTTTTCAATGCAGCTCACATTAAGATCATAGTTGTTGTGTTTCTTAATTTTTATAGAAGTCAAAAATACAAAAAGATAGGGTTTAAGTTATAAGTTACAACGTAGGAGCAATTTGGAATGATGTTACACCTTATTTATTGTGTTTTTTAATTTTTATCAAATGTCAAATAAGACAAACAAATTAGGACACAGTAAAATTTAGAGAATCTTTTGCTTTAATTCAAAATTGAATTCTAATTGATTTATATTGCTTTTTTTTTTCTAAATTAAAAATCAAATACAATTTGAATAATTCAAAAATTATACGAACTTAGCTAATTAGTAAATAAGATAGGGATCCTTTTTTTTTTTTTTTTTTTTTTTTTGGGGTATGAATTGGAACATCAAGAAATTGGTAGAGTGGAATTTAGAGCACACGTCAATTGGTCTCCATCTCTTAGACTAATCAAGCTTCTTGCTTGCCTTTATTATTATTTTTTTTCAGCTTTAATTATTCTTTTCTCTCGATGAAGCCAGGTAATTGATCATGAGTAGTGAAAATTGATGCATGAAAGGACCAAAAAAAAAAATCTCTTTTGACAAACTAATATTTCTTGACAGCAGGTTGGTCTACATATTCACATAAACATATTTATGCGTGAAAAAAATAGTTTCCCATTTCCCTTTTTAAAAAAGAATTTTTGCCTATACAGTTAAATGCTTTAGAAGATTATAATTAATAAGGGCCTCGTCAGAAGTCCACCAATGTGGGGAGGCCGAATGATTCCCTGTCTCTCTTTTGCTATCGTCTTAATGGTTGGAATCTGAGGTTATGAAAGGACCAAAGGTTTTGATTTTTTGAAGGGGAAATTTAGATGCTAGAGTCTGTCAATAAGGTACGTGACCATAGTTTTTTTTTTTTCCCCCTCACATAGAATCATATAGTTTATAATTAATAGTTAGATAGTTAAAAATTTACTTTATTAGTTAGTTGGTAACAAAATGAGAACATTGTATTATCACGATAAAGAGTGACTTGTTTATCACTATAAAGTAATGAAAAGCTACTCCAATTTTTTCTTATAATAAAACATTTTTCAAACTCAAATACTTAAAAAAAAAAAAAAAAGGGATTTAAACTCATAATCCTCAAGCTCGTTACCATTAAACAGTTGCCTATTTATAGTTAATTTTTATATTTGGTGGAAGTTGGTTATGCTTTGCCAAAATTTAGGCTCCTCTCACTCTAGTTATTGTCATTAAATCTGGTAAACTCAAGGCGGGAACCATTCAAACATAGAATTACTACAAACACAGAAGATAAATATGGAATTAGTGTCCTATAGAAACAAAATCTATTCTCACAGCTCAGAATCATGATGAAACAATACGGGAAAAAGAAAGGAAGCAGCTAAGATGCAGAGAGCGGGCTTGGCCTCACGGCAGTTTGAATTCGCCTAAATGCAGTCCTAACGCGTTCCTTGAGACGTTCATTCTCACTCTCAACATCCCCACTCTGTTTGTCAAGCTCGGCCACATTCCGATCAACACTTACGACCAGCTTTCCATTCTCTCCGAGTTTCACATCTCCAAAAAGTGAAACAAGAAGTGCACAAATCACCTTCTCTGCTTTTTTCTCATTTTCTTCCTCCGATTTTATGTCCTCTGACTCTACTATTACCTTAGGAACCTCCCGGCTGATGTTCAAAACCAAAGCTACAATAGAATCAGACACCATATCACTTATGGGGTCAGCAGTCCAATGAAGTGAAATATGTCTATCAGACTCTTGTTTCACTGTTACCAGCTCATGCACTTGCAATGTTGGAGACCCAGACTCTTCGTCGGTTCCAGAATCCACACTCTCATATATCTGCTCAAGCCTGTGGTTTATCACACCAAATGCACCAGAAAATGGAATGGTAATCCTCTGAGTAATATTTGCTGTTGATAGTTGTGAGAAGACATGGAGATCTTCAGGTGCCATGATTTGATAAGTGAAGCCCTTCTTCACTAGCATACCACTCACAGTTTCACCAACCTCTGGGGTCCATTCAGCCAGCTTCCCTATGGTTTTTGCCATTTTTTCAGAGTTAAAACACATCTCAATAGACTGGCAATTCTTTGGGGTGATAATTTTGGTGTTGCCATCTGCAAACTCTGTGACAAGCTTCTGTTTGAGCCTTCCCATCTCATTGGCTTCTCCATGAACAAGAATAACGTTAGGAGGCATGAGCTCTTTCAAAAATGTACTTGTCTGAGTATAATCTGCATGGGCAGAGAACGAGATGTAATGTACCTGCATGTTGAGCTGTGCAGTTAATCCATTCATGAGCTGAACCTCCTTTGGTTCATTAATGATTGTCTTAGCAAGGGTACCTTCAACAACATATCCAGGTATAACACAAGCATTTTTCTTATCAGAGCACCACATATCAAACAGCTGCCTTGACAACCCACTCTGCAATCCACTAGGACTTGCCATAACCACTGATGGGCCTACATCAGTAAAATCTTCAATGCTATTTAAAGGTGATATATGCTTGAATTTGAAGGGATTTGAATTCGCAAACTGGTTGCAGATCCTTTCATTCATAGAAAGAATGTATGTCTGATAAACAGTCATACACTTTTTTGCGAGGGGAGAAGCATAATATATGGGAATGTTATGAAGCTCAGGATGGTTTGACCAATACTCATCAAGGATCAACAGGAGTTCTTGAGCACGGCCAAGGGCAAATGCTGGAATTAGAACGCGACCACCTTGAGAAATGGTTGAGTGGATAACATCAGTGAAGCGCTTCTCCCGAATGTGCCGAGGTTGATGGAGCTGGACACCATAGGTAGATTCAATTATGCATATGTCAGGAGAGAATTGTGGCATTTCAGCAGCACGAAGATGCCGATCTTCTTCACGTGAATAGTCTCCAGTATAGAGTACTCGAACACCAGCAATATCTACCATGAACATGGCAGCACCAAGGACATGGCCAGCAGTGTAGCACCAAAATTTAATGCCACTAACGTCCAGAGTCTGATGGAAGTCAATAACCTGGAATTACAAAAATCATTAACGAAACAAAGGATTCTTAAGTTAGGCAGAGGATGACAAAGGAATATTACAAGTAATTCCATCATAAGGAAATTAAGTCCTGACAAACACCAGCACAAGAATGACACAGATGCAAACACGCACCGAACCTTGATAACAGCGTCAGTATTTGAGGCAGGATTAAGAGTCCATGAATGAACGGAAGAAAAACAAAATATATAAAAGCACTTCTCCTCTGCTATCTGCCACCAGTCTTGAACAACTTGACCTCATTGATCGTGATTGTGCTACAAGGAAGACTGGTTAAAAAAAAAAAAGGAAAGAAACCCTCACTTTGAATTGTCTGCATATGACCATATTTCAGATTTTTTTTTTAATCATTCCATAATGGGTTAAACACCTTGCATTGAGGTTACAAATTTTCTTGCAACTCAAATCAATCCAAACATTACCACACATGGATTGCTTACAGACAGATTTTTCAACTTAAACATGCCAAGCACAGAATAACGCTTGTGAAAAATATATACTATATTGAGAAAAAGATAAGCAAGTCCCATTTTGGAAGAAGCACCCTTTGAAGAAACAAGAGAAAAAATAAATAATAAATAATCATCTTGTTGTTACGGAACCTTTTGCTTAAGTGTATAAGGGAATGGACCCTATATGCCAACCAGAAAGCCCCCACTTGGCTGACTAGATTTTTCTTTATCTCTCTCTTTTCTTTCTTTCTTGATTATTTTTTTCCTTCTGAATTACTGTTATCTTATTACTAATCATGTAAATCTTACACATGCAGGAAGAGAGTTAGATGCCACTTGCTATAATATAACCCAAACTGTCATAGTTCAACAAATATGCATGACTGTCAACCTCAACTACTGGAATATGCTCTTTGATTTGATCAGGCAATTGAGTATTCCAAATGCAACAGACATGTGGAATGAACTTATATTGAACAGTATTAGAAATAGAAGTGCATAATTTAGTTATCAAATGCACAGAAATATGTGCTCGGTTTCCATGCAAAACATATAAGCCTCAAATCAGAAACTGTCAACTAATAATGCCAAACTCAAACATATTTAAAGCTAAGAGATTCATAGAGAGTGAAAATTTACAAATCAAATGCAAGATTGAAACAATGTAAATCCCAGAAGACAATAGCAGACCTTTTATCTAGAGCAATCAATTCAACATGGTTAGAAGTGATAAGGAACAGTGACCAATAAGCTGAATTCCTTAGAGCATGACCTAGGGACCACAACATCAAGCGAGGCAAATATAATAAGTGAGATATTTCCAATCTAATGCATGGATGCAAGGTAAATGAAGTGGCTGTGCAAGAACAGAAAGGCTACAGACCCCTGAAAACAAAAGAATGCAACAATTATGAAACACAAACCTCAATTTTATCCATCGAGCGGCTTATGTCTTGCTCATCAAACAACATATCTTCAACTGAAACCTTGCTCACTTTTACATAATCAGTCAAAAGCAACTTGTAGATAGCCTTTGTAGCATGAGTCATGAAAACTCGACCTCTGAATGTGGTCTGATAAAGAGTGAACCAATTAGTTTGATCCTAATGAAAGATACACACAACTTTGTAGTGATCAGTTAAAACAAACCTTCTCTAAAAAATAAGGCTGGGATGCAGCATGATCCAAGTGAAAACTGCAAGCAAA